AATTAAGGAGTTGATGTTGTTCTTGTTCTTCTTGTTGTAGAGGTTGCTTGTTGGATGATTACGGGAGAGAGACAAGCTGCAAGGATAAGAAGTACGTATCTGAAAACAATTCTGAGACAAGACATTGGATTCTTCGATTTGGAAACTAACACAGGAGAGGTTGTCGGTAGAATGTCTGGAGATACTGTTCTTATTCAAGATGCCATGGGTGAAAAGGTAATGCAATGGATATACAAGCTTATATATAATGATTGGATTCGTTTTTGAAGTTTGTTACTTTTCTTAAATCTTGCAGGTTGGGAAGTTTATTCAGCTGGTATCTACTTTCGTTGGCGGATTTGTTTTAGCTTTCATTAAAGGATGGTTACTAACATTGGTTATGTTAACTTCCATCCCTCTTCTGGCTATGGCTGGTGCAGCCATGGCCCTTATCGTCACTAGAGCTTCTTCTCGAGGACAAGCCGCTTATGCAAAAGCAGCAACTGTTGTTGAACAGACTATCGGATCTATCCGAACGGTAAACCTCAATCTTTCTAAGCTACAAAACACTCTTTAACTCTTTTGTTACTTGATTTTTTCTTTTGTTTTGGTTTGAAGGTTGCTTCGTTTACGGGAGAGAAGCAAGCCATTAACAGCTACAAGAAGTTCATAACATCGGCGTATAAATCAAGCATTCAACAAGGTTTCTCCACCGGTTTAGGACTTGGAGTAATGTTCTTCGTGTTTTTCAGCAGCTATGCTTTGGCTATTTGGTTTGGTGGGAAGATGATACTCGAAAAAGGGTATACTGGTGGCGCTGTGATCAACGTGATCATCATTGTGGTTGCGGGTTCAATGTAAGTAAAATCCTTGACAATCACTTCTATAGATATATATACTTAAAGATGTGAGATTCTTATTTTTTTCTTTAGGTCCCTTGGGCAAACATCTCCATGTGTAACCGCATTTTCAGCTGGTCAAGCTGCAGCATATAAGATGTTTCAGACGATCAAACGAAAGCCTTTGATTGATGCTTATGACGTTAATGGAAAGGTTCTTGAAGATATCCGAGGAGACATTGAACTTAAAGATGTGCATTTCAGTTACCCTGCGAGGCCAGACGAGGATATATTCAACGGATTCTCTCTGTTTATTCCCAGCGGTGCAACAGCAGCATTAGTAGGAGAAAGTGGAAGTGGAAAATCTACCGTGATCAGTTTGATTGAGAGGTTTTATGATCCAAAATCCGGCGCAGTACTAATTGATGGAGTTGATCTTAAGGAGTTTCAGTTGAAATGGATCAGAAGCAAAATCGGATTGGTCAGTCAAGAGCCGGTTCTGTTTTCGTCGAGCATCATGGAGAATATCGCCTATGGAAAAGAAAATGCGACGCTTCAAGAGATTAAAGCTGTAACAGAGCTAACTAATGCGGCGAAGTTCATAGATAACTTACCTCAGGGGTTGGATACATTGGTAGGAGAGCACGGGACACAGCTCTCGGGAGGACAGAAACAGAGGATAGCGATTGCGAGAGCTATTCTTAAAGATCCGCAGATTTTGCTGCTGGATGAAGCAACAAGCGCGCTCGATGCAGAATCCGAAAGAGTTGTTCAAGAGGCTTTAGATAGAGTGATGGTTAACCGGACTACGCTGATTATTGCGCATAGGTTAAGCACGGTAAGAAATGCGGATATGATTGCAGTAATTCACCGCGGAAAAATGGTGGAAAAAGGTTCACATTCCAAGTTGTTGAAAGATTCCGAGGGAGCTTATTCACAGCTCATTCGGTTACAAGAGATAAACAAGGGTAACGATGTGAAACCATCAGACGTATCTGCGGGATCATCTTTCCGGAACTCGAGTTTGAAAAAATCAATAGAGGGATCGGTTATCAGTGGCGGAACCTCGTCGGTTGGAAATAGCAGCCGTCATCATTCTTTGAATGTTCTTGGTTTATTTGCAGGACTAGACCTCGGTAGCGGTAGCCAACGAGTAGGTCAAGAGGAAACTGGAACGGCAAGTCAAGAACCGCTCCCAAAAGTATCACTCACCCGAATTGCGGTTCTAAACAAACCTGAGATCCCTGTTCTCCTTTTAGGAACTGTAGCAGCAGCAATTAATGGCGCAATTTTCCCGCTTTTCGGGATTCTGATTTCAAGAGTCATTGAAGCGTTCTTCAAACCAGTTGACCAACTAAAGAAAGAATCAAGATTCTGGGCTATTATATTTGTAGCTCTGGGAGTAACTTCGTTGATTGTCTCACCGTCTCAAATGTATCTGTTTGCAGTAGCTGGAGGAAAACTAATTCGACGAATTCAGTCAATGTGCTTTGAGAAAGCGGTTCACATGGAAGTTGGGTGGTTCGATGAGCCAGAGAACTCGAGTGGTACAATGGGGGCCAGGCTCTCGACTGATGCAGCTTTGATTAGAGCTCTAGTTGGTGATGCATTGTCTCTAGCGGTTCAAAATGCTGCATCTGCTGCGTCTGGATTGATTATAGCGTTCACTGCGAGTTGGGAACTGGCGCTTATAATATTATTGATGATTCCTCTTATTGGTATCAATGGCTTCCTTCAAGTCAAGTTTATGAAAGGATTCAGCGCCGACGCAAAGGTCCGTTCATCAATCAATTCCATTTTTTTTCGGTTCTCCAAAAATCCTGTGTTTTTTTTCTTTTGAATCAAGAAACTTACTCTGGTTTTGGATAACTATGTAGTCAAAGTATGAGGAGGCGAGTCAGGTAGCGAATGATGCGGTAGGTAGTATAAGAACAGTTGCTTCTTTCTGCGCGGAGGAAAAAGTGATGCAGATGTATAAGAAGCAATGCGAAGGTCCGATAAAAGATGGAATCAAGCAAGGTTTCATCAGCGGATTAGGGTTTGGATTCTCTTTCTTCATTCTGTTTTGTTTCTACGCGACAAGCTTCTACGCGGCGGCTAGATTGGTTGAAGATGGCAGGACTACTTTCATTGATGTTTTCCAGGTAAATTGCTGTCCTAATCATGCTTGAATATTTTTGAATATCTCTGTGAACTAGTAATGAAGTAGAATGGATCTTGCAGGTGTTCTTTGCGTTAACAATGGCAGCGATTGGGGTTTCTCAGTCGAGTACATTAGCTCCAGATTCGAGCAAAGCCAAGGCTGCAGCTGCTTCGATCTTTGCAATCATCGATAGAAAATCGAAGATAGACTCGAGCGATGAGTCAGGGACAGTGTTGGAGAACATTAAGGGAGATATTGAGCTTCGTCACTTAAGCTTCACTTATCCAGCAAGACCAGACATTCAGATCTTTCGTGATCTTTGCTTAACCATTCATGCAGGAAAGGTAAACAAATCAGTGGACTAAACCCAAACTTTCTCTTAAGAAATTTTTTGATCAGTTCTGCCTCTCTTTGGTTTTCTTTCAGACGGTTGCTTTGGTAGGAGAAAGCGGGTCGGGGAAATCGACGGTGATCTCGCTGTTACAAAGATTTTACGATCCAGATTCTGGTCATATAACTTTAGACGGAGTTGAGCTCAAAAAGCTGCAATTGAAATGGTTGAGACAACAAATGGGACTAGTGGGACAAGAACCGGTCTTGTTCAACGACACGATTCGAGCCAATATTGCTTATGGCAAAGGAAGCGAAGAGGCCGCAACCGAGTCTGAAATCATAGCCGCTGCAGAACTCGCCAATTCACACAAATTTATCTCTAGCATACAAGAGGTAAGAAAAGAGATTATTTTCAAATTATTTTTCTTTTTATAAAAACTCTGTTTTTTCCAAGTTTACTTACGACGCAAGCAAAACATTTATTTTAGGGTTACGATACAGTCGTGGGAGAAAGAGGGATTCAGTTGTCAGGAGGACAGAAACAGCGTGTGGCTATAGCACGCGCCATCGTGAAAGAGCCGAGTATTTTGCTTTTGGACGAAGCAACAAGCGCTCTTGATGCAGAATCAGAGCGAGTGGTTCAGGATGCGCTTGACCGAGTGATGGTGAACCGAACCACGGTTGTGGTGGCTCACCGGTTATCGACCATTAAAAACGCTGACGTCATTGCCGTCGTTAAGAATGGTGTGATCGCTGAGAAAGGGACTCACGGGACTTTGATCAAAATCGACGGTGGGGTTTATGCCTCGCTAGTTCAGCTACACATGACTGCTTCTAATTGATACATATGATATATTTACTTGGTTTATGAGAGCTAAAATATATCTTTGTTGTATGCAAGTTTATGTAGCTGTCACTAGTTATTTTGTTTCCTTTTCTCTCCAAATTGGTAGTTATAATGAATGTATTTATTTGACTTTGTAACAGAGAAAAAGACCATCTCTTTCAGTTAAGGCTCTCTTCAAATAAGTTGATAGCATAGATAAACTGTAATAACCAATCGTCGTTATGCAAATTAAAAAGCTCTTGTATACTCTGTTTTGTGTTGCAATATTTATATAAAGTATCTATATCATTTCTTGTCTAATTGAAAGGCGACACTAAGGGGGTGTTATTGGTTTATTAATTTGTAAATCCATATAGAATTTGAAAATTTCTATTAATTATGAAATCAAGATATATGGATTTTGAAATAACATGTGTTTACCCATGGATTTGAATCCTTCTATTTTTCTCTTTCAATTCCATTCAAATCCATTTAAAACATAATTTGGATTCTCAAATCCAAAAACAAATGACTAAACGAATAACATATGATTTCAACTAGTATTTATAAATTATAGAACCAATAACACATGAATTTAATTAAGATTTTAAAATCAATGATTAAATAACAAATGATTTTTGTTTGGATTTCTGATTCCTTATAAATTCATGAACCAATAACCCCTCCTAAGATTACTTAATAATCTCTATTATGATCTATATTTAGTAAATAAATTACCATAATGATAAAAGATATTTAACAAGTAACAACATTAACTGGCAACAAACCATCTATATTATCTCTGATATGATCTATATTTTAGTAAATAAATTACCATAAGTCCATAATGATAAAAGATATTTAACAAGTAACAACATTAACTGGCAACAAACCATCCATGAACTTGTTCGGTGTTAAATAAAAACTGAAAATTTAGATAACAAAAATTACTCTAAAATTAGTGTTTATAAACAAAACAATTTCTCTAAAATCTTCATTCAAAATAACCCTCTCTTTTAGCTTTTTCAAACAAAAAAAAAAAAGATGAAGAAGTCATCACCATTGCTCTGTTTCTCTCTTGCTCTGTTTTCTCTCCTATCATCTCCTTCCTCTTCCGCTCGTATCTTCTCCTCCGTTGTCCCCTCCGCCGCTCCTTCTCCCGCCGTATCCACCACCTCCGACGGGGGCGTAGATGAAACCGATTTCTCCGCCTTCACGCAATGGAACATTTTAAACCTAACTGACCTCAAAAGCACCTTTAAAAACCTCCCGGATCTCTCTAAGCTCAACATCTCATCCCTCCACGTGTCACCCGCCGTTGGCTACGTCTGCTCTAACACCGACTACGCTGCCGAATGCATCGTCTCAATCCTCCCACTCCTCCGCGACTTCCGCAAATTCGAGCCAAAACCCATCGACGTCCTTCGAATGGAGATGAGTGCGCTCTACGAGAAAGCTAACGCCACGCTCGACTTAGCCAAGCGTCTCATCGTTGACCAGTCAACGCCGCGTGACGTGGCTGATGTTTTGGACTTATGTGTCGATAACTACGAGTCGCTTCTCGATGATCTCAAAGATGCTTCCGTAGCCGTCGATGATGGAGACTTTGGACGGCTCGAGAGTGTGGTGAGTGCTGCGATCGCTGATGTGGTGACTTGCTCGGACGCGTTCACTGAGTCGTCGGAGCTTGAGTCGCCGATGGTTAACGTTGATGCTTTTCTTAAGAAGCTTTGTAGTAATGTCTTGGCTATTTCTCAGATGATCCATATGTAATGCGTAAGTATAAATGTTAAAGAGTCCAGTAATGTGGTGGATCCAAACAATATACTCATGATTTGCCATGAAATACATTTGATAAGTGAAAATAAAATATATCGTGTACATAAATTGATCTATTAGCCAATCAGTAGACTAGAAAACCGTCTAAATCTATATATACATTTTTGGATGACTTTTAGCAAATAAATCCTGGAGTTGGAATGTATTTACAAAGAATGCCATTGGCATTTATTATTTACTTTTACAAAATTTAAATAAAAGATATGAACCAAACAATATCTTGCCTAATTTGTTTTTAAAAATCTCTACACAATCTTTCCATATATCTTCAAAAAACTTTTATAGCAAATATTTATATTAACATTTTGCATAGTAATAAAAATACTAATTTATAATAATCAAAATATTCACATAGAAAAATTATATACACATACATGAAAAAAACTATATATGTCATCATTTAAGCCGTTGCTTTATTTAAATAAAATAAAAACACAAAAACCTGAAATCATATATTTTATATGATAAATTTAAAATATATATTAGTAATATAAATTTAAAATCATTCAAAGAACGGTATACCACGGGTGAGATCCTAAAATTATTGGATTTTATTACAATAATAATTTATTTTCTTGGATTTTATAACACTAATAATTTAGCTAATGGGATAATATAGACGGGTTTATATGGAATGACGGGTTTGGGTCGATATTAATAACGGTATATTAAGGATGAAATCCTAAAATTAACAATCAAAATACAATTATACAATCTTAAACACAAAACAAAAGAAACAATATTAACAAAACAAATACAACTTAAAATTTTTAGTTATTAAAAAACCGACCCACGGTATACTTCGGAGTCAAATATTCAAAATTTTAAAATCCACCATACATCGTTACTTAAAAAAAATGTATGTTTTCGTATCTATACTTTAAAAATTGAAACCTAAACAATAGTAATCATACACTAGATAATACATAGATAGATATCTACATTTAAAAATACAAATTAATATGATATATCTTCAGTTAAACTTTAAAAAATAACATTATATTTTTTAAAAAAATATAGCCACGCGGTGTACCGCGGGTTAAATTCTAGTTACTATTTATTTTTTATCAATTTGCATGAGAAAAAAAAAAAATGCAAAAAACAAATAAGAAGCCTTGGCCCAGTTCTCTGTTCTACACAAAGCCCATAAACACATAATTTTGGAACAGATATTTATCGTTTAATACTAAAATTTCCTCTTAGACCAAAAAGCGTTAGCGTGTACAATAATCGGACCTAAAATTGACCCGCCCCATTTTCTTAAATTAACGGGTTAAAACCCGACCCGATAACACACACAGATATCACCACCATTAGTGTCACCATTACTCTTCGAAGAAAGCAAAACAAAAATCCCCAAATTTCTACAAGGATAAGAGCCAGAAGTTCCTCGCCGGTGAACGGAACTAGGGTTTCATTCATCTCCCAAATTGGCCAACAAGAATAATGGCTCATGCTTGCGTCTCTACATCGGCTTCTTCTCTCAGATTCACAGCTGGATTCGTCTCCGCTAGTCCCAATGGTTCCTCTTTCGATTCTCCCAAGCTTTCTCTTCCTTTCGAGCCTCTTCGTTCAAGGTCTTGCCATTTTCCATCTTTCTTCACTCTCGAAACTACAAAATCTTTAGGTTAATTTAGGGATTTTGTTTGCAGGAAGACGAAGAAGTTAGTTAGCGATAGAAAGAATTGGAAGAATTCAACTCCGAAAGCTGTATATTCTGGCAATCTCTGGACACCGGAGATTCCTTCTCCTCAAGGAGTTTGGTCCATTAGGTGAGAGATTTGAGTTTTTGACTATGTTCTTGAACTTTGATTTTGAACTCTTTTTGATGGTTAAATTTGTTACTTTGCAGAGATGATTTACAAGTCCCTTCTTCGCCGTATTTTCCTGTGTATGCTCAAGGTCAAGGACCACCTCCTATGGTGCAAGAACGTTTCCAGAGTATCATTAGTCAGCTCTTCCAATATGTATACTGATAAAATCTCTACTCTTTGTTTAACATTGATTAGCTTAGTGTTCTTGTTGATGGATGGTTTCTTTCGTTTTGATCGTTTAGAGGATTATTCGCTGTGGTGGTGCTGTGGATGATGATATGGCAAACATAATTGTAGCTCAACTTCTGTATCTTGATGCTGTTGATCCTACTAAGGTTATATATTGTTGAATTTCGAATTCATGTCTTGTTACTTGATTTAGAGGTTTTGCTTTAGGATTCTGATATTTGCTTATGTTGAACAGGATATTGTCATGTATGTTAATTCTCCTGGTGGATCAGTTACAGCTGGTAATAACAACTTTGTCAGCTTACTTGTTTCCCTATGATCTCTTTGAAGTTTTTCATTTTCTTTTCCGACTTTTATGGTTGTTGACTCTTGTATCTCTTACTTTACCCAGGCATGGCTATTTTCGATACTATGAGGCATATCCGGCCTGATGTTTCCACTGTTTGTGTCGGTCTAGCTGCTAGGTGAGACTTTCTCCATCCTTTACCTCACATTACCTCTTGGTTTTCTTAGGGTCCTTGGTAAATTGATAGTTTCTTGTACATTTTAAAATTTCTCTTTTCAATGTGGTTAACTATTCTTCTATTGGATGCATGACCAAAAGTTACCAGTCAAAAACACAGTGTTTCTCGAAAAACGGAATTTTTTTCTGTGTGGTTAAATGTGGGTTCCCTAGATTATGACACCCTCTTCTTTTTCTGTGTTGGTTTTATTATGAACAGTATGGGAGCTTTTCTGCTTAGTGCTGGAACCAAAGGTAGTCTCTTCTTGATCCTTTCATTCATTAGCAAAATGTTTTAGTCAAGTCTATTAATTTCATTTTCCTGATGTGAGCCATGCTTTATTTGTAAAACTGTAGGGAAAAGATACAGTCTACCAAACTCAAGGATAATGATCCATCAGCCGCTTGGTGGAGCTCAAGGTGGCCAAACCGACATTGACATTCAGGTCATTCATCCTCGCCTTTATATTTCGATTTTTGATCCCAGTCATCCTCTTTAAGTTTTTTGGAGAGACTAGATTGATTGAAATATCAGATGATTTTTGAAACCTAAATGTACAAGTTCATGGTCTGAAACCAGGCAAATGAAATGCTGCATCACAAGGCAAACCTAAACGGTTACCTCGCTTATCACACTGGTCAAAGCCTGGAGAAGATAAACCAGGACACAGACCGTGATTTCTTCATGAGTGCTAAAGAAGCAAAAGAGTATGGACTTATCGACGGTGTTATCATGAACCCTCTTAAAGCTCTCCAGCCACTTGCAGCAGCTTAATCGCCTGAAGGTAGTGGTTCAGCCTTTTATGAACTGAGACTTTCCATGAAATATGTTTCTAGAAGGAAAATCAGATTTGGTTGGGATCAAGATCTGTAGTTGATTCATACATGAAGAACAAAGTAAATTTTCTTGCTCTGCTGTTTGACTGAACAACCTTGATCTTTAAGCAATTTTTTATCCAGTCTAATCGAATTGTCAGCCTATATATATTTTTTTTTTTAACAAAAACAAAAAGTTACCATTGCTGCTTCTTAATTATTTAACGGTAAGGAGTTGAAGATTTATGCATTTTGATTTGACTTTCATTTTCAAACTGAAAGTTACAACTCCACTAATCCTGAGTTTGTCTATTGATTTATTACCTGTCACTCGAGACTTTGAATGTATCCTCTTTTTCTTTCAAAAAAATCAGGAGATATTTAATATAACATTTAATCTACTTATAATACTATATTCACACGTATTTGTGATCTAAATAAAAACAAAAAGAAGATATCATGTAACTTTATCCATGTAACGTATTTGGGTCCGTCAGATGCATTTTGGTCAAAGATACTATTTTTGAATTTAAATTATTATTACCAACTTGTAGTAACCATTTTTTGTAAAAAAATAAAATCTTAGCTTAAATATGAAAAAATTCTTCATTTCTATTATTTCTCAAATTTTTTTTTTTAAACGAGGATCATCCATCAGCCGGCTCTGTTTATCGATGAGCAAATAAATGAAAATTAGAAATAGTCTCGACATTTTTAATTAAATATATGTATAGTAGATTAAAAAATATAAAGGAATAAGAAAAGGAACTTTGTGGTTGACGACCATAATAATAGACGTGGTTGCCAAACACACTTTCTTAAAGCTTTATATACATCTTTCTTACATGCTCTGTTTCTTCTCATTCAAGCAACAGTCTCTTCCCGTTTTGCTTCTTTGTGAATTAAGATGGAACATGAAGAAACACAGAAGAACACAAGAAGCAGCTGGTCACCGCTTCGACCATTTCAAATGATCTCCATTAGCCTTCTTAGTCTCCTTGTCCCTCTCTCTTTCCTCTTCCTTTCACGTCTCTCTGTTTCCTCCTCCTCAGCTCCAGTCACCATTTCCGGCGTATTGTCCCTTCTTCACCAGGCCGATGTCGGAGTTTTATACACAATCTTGTCTCTTATCATAGTCTCCACTTTAATCCACAATCTCTTCGGAAAACCAGAATGCTCTGTTCTCCATTCCTATCTCTACATCTGCTGGATTGTTCTCTTCATCGTCCAAGCTTGTGTCGCCTTTGGAATCGAAGGAACCATGAGCACGACCGTTTCTATAAACACAGACAAAAGCTTGTCTCTTGCGGCTCAAGAAAGGTGGGTTTTGGTTAGGGTTATGTTCTTTTTGGGCCTACACGAAGTGATGCTGATGTGGTTTAGAGTAGTGGTTAAGCCGGTGGTCGACGACACTGTTTTCGGGGTTTACATGGAGGAAGAGAGATGGTCGGAGAGAGCCGTCGTGGCGGTGACTTTTGGTTTAATGTGGTGGTGGAGGCTAAGAGATGAGGTAGAAAGTCTGGTGGTGGTTGCAGAGGTTAAACGTAGCCTTCTGATACATTTGGAGGGTCTCGATTTTGTAAACTGGTGGATGTATTACATCTGTGTTGGAATAGGCTTGGTGAAGATCTTCACAGGGTTTTTGTATTTTTTAAATATGTTAATTTTGACCATTAAGAGGTCGAGAGAAGGCTGTGAATCGTGTCTTGTTGATGATTTGTGTAATGGTGATGATCATGTGTAAGAAATTTGACATTTTTTTGAGATTTTTTCATTTAAATTTCTTCTTTGTTGCTATGAATTTAACCCTTATGTCAGAAAAATAATAGAATATCAAATAGCAAAATTTTTTTATCGAAAATTAACCATTGAACATTAGTTTAAGTGGATTTAATTCCTTTTATAGTTATTTTTCTAACATGTCCATTATATATAGGGTAGTCACTTTTTTTATAAAAAAAAAACTTAAACATTTAATTAACGTTATAAATAGTAAAAAATATCGGAGTTACATACAATTTAGTAAAAAATATCGGAGTTACGCAGAATTTAGTAATTTCGTAAATTTTAGTAATTTATGTTTTGAATAGTCTTGATCCTGAGTTTGTCAATTTTTAACACTAGGATTTATAACGAATTTTCCTATTATGTTAATTTACCTGTCACTCAAAAGACCTCTCTTTTTTTTCAAAGGAATTTATCCTCTTTTTCAAATAATTATTTAACATTTAATCTAACAATAATAATAATAAAAAAAGATATGGATGAACTTTATAAATTCATGCAATGCAATGGTCGAACACTAGATATGTTGGGAACGTTGGATTCATTTGGTCATAGAAAGTCAGAAACTATTTTGAATATAAATGATTCCCACTTGTAGACTGTAGTAACCATTATTTTTTTAAATAAATTTTCTTCATCTCTGTTATTTCTTTCAAAGAAGAAAAAAAAAACACCACGATTATCCATCACAGGCTGTGTTCATCGGTGAACATATATATTAAAACTGGTGGCCTTTTCATTACAAAAAAAATCTGGACATTTTAAAATAATTATAGGTATAGTAGATAAAAAAAAGTAAAGGAATAAGAAAAGGAATCTTTATGGTGATTATTGTAACAAAACAGAAATCATTATATTGAATCATTCAGACGAACAAAAAGGAAAAGATCAAAGCTTTGTAGCTAGATGAACATAGACGTGGCTGCCAAACACATTGTCTTAATGCTTTTATATAGATCTTTCTTACATCCTCTGTTCCTTCACATTCAAGAAACAGTGTCTTCCCATTTTCTTCTTCTTCTCAGTGTTTCAATCTTTGCGAATTAAGATGGAACATGAAGAAACACAAAAGAACACAAGAAACAGCTGGTCACTGGTTCGACCATCTCAAATGATCTCCATTAGCTTTCTTAGCCTCCTCATCCCTCTATCGTTCCTCTTCCTTTCACGTCTCTCTCTCTATACCTCCTCATCTCCTGTCACCGTCTCCGGCGTATTCTCTGTTCTTCACCAGGCCGATGTCGGAGTCTTATACACGATCTTGTTTCTCATCATCGTCTTCACTTTAATCCACAGTCTCTTAGGTAAACCAGAATGCTCTGTTCTCCATTCCCATCTCTACATCTGCTGGATCGTTCTCTTCATCGCCCAAGCTTGTGCCTTCGGAATCAAAAGAACCATGAGCACGACCATGTCTATAAATCCAGACAAAAACTTGTTTCTTGCGACACATGAAAGATGTGTGCTGGTTAGGGTTTTGTTCGTTTTGGGGCTACACGAAGTGATGCTGATGTGGTTTAGAGTCGTGGTTAAGCCTGTGGTTGACAAAACTATATATGGGGTTTACGTGGAAGAGAGGTGGTCCGAGAGAGCCGTTGTGGCACTGACCTTTGGTCTAATGTGGTGGTGGAGGCTAAGAGATGAGGTAGAAAGTCTTGTGGTGGTGGTTACAGAGGATAAACGTGACCTCCCCATTCGTTTGGTGGGTCTCAGTTTTGTGAACTGGTGTATGTATTACATCTGTGTTGGAATTGGTTTGGTGAAGATCTTCAAAGGGTTTTTGTATTTTGTGAACATGTTAATCTTGACCATTAGGAGATCGAGAAAAGGCTGCGAATCGTGTGTTGTTGATGATCATGTGTAAGAGATTGGACATATTATACTCAAACTCAGTTGAATATTTTTGAGAATTTTTTCATTTAAATTTCTTCTTTCTTGCTATGAATTTTAACCTATGTCAGAAAATTAATAGAATATCAAATAGCATAACTTTTTTTTTATATCTAAAGTTAACCATTGAACATTAATTTAAGTGGATTTAAATCATTTTATAGTTATATTTATAACACGTAGCGTAGTCACTTTTAAGAAAAAACTTGAACATTTAATTAACGTTATAAATAGAAAAAAAAATTAGAATTACGTAAAATTTACGTTGTAAATGCATGTATTTAAATTTACGTAGAGAATAATATACACTATACAGTAAAACCTTTATAAATTAATAATGTTGGGACCAGAAAATTTTATTAATTTAGAGAGGTATTAATTTATCAATAATTTAATAATTATTAATTTATAGAGAGATTTTTCTAATTTTGTAATTCTTAAAAAAATTCTATCTAAAAATATATATTTTTCTTTATAAGCAATATCTTTTTAAAACCAATTGCAAGTAGAGAAACAATTATTAAGTTTAAACAACAACACAAACTTTTTTCGAATAAGAAATTCATATTTCATTAATTTTTTTAAATATAATATTTTAAATATATATTATAGTAATTTATATATGACATATATAAATTATGTCATATATATAAATTTATATCATATATATATTAAGTTAAATATACATATATATATATATATTGATAAGTTTATACAATTATTAATTTATGATATAGATGAGACCATATGTTTATATGAGATTTTCAAAAAAATTATTATCTTATTAATTTATCGATTTATGTCATATTTTACACTAGTCCCAACTCGGGACTGGAAGAATTTATTAATTTAGAGAGGTTATTAATTTATAGAATATTAATTTATAGAAGTTTTACTGTATATATATTTTCGACGATTTAAACTTATTTTGTTTCTTCCATATATGTATACATTTATAAGCTTAAATAGAAAACTAGATATGAGTGAATATTAAAAGATATATAACGACATTAATATAAGTTTCATTTATCGGGCACTCCAACATTTTAATATATCTATCAACATTTTTTTTCATTGGTCACATAAAGATCAGTTTAATTTTTTTTTTTACTTTTAATATAGTATATGAGTTTTAAACGTGCGCTGTCAAAACGTCAATTAAGAGCAAACCCAACATCCACATACATATAGTACTATATTTTGAAAATTAAAATTTTCTTAAATTTCCCAGATTATTTTCCTTTTAAAGCAAGCAAGTCCAAATACGTTTCTTCCAGATTTATAATTTTCCTTATTAAGGTTTTTTACAAAAAAAATCAACTTCTTATTTAAAAACCCCTTTGCATTATCCTTTTCAACAACACCATCAGAGAAGACGAGAAAAAAAGAAGAGGCGAGTGGTTAATGGAGAAGGTTAGTGTTACTCCAAACAGATCTGAAGTGACTAGGTTATGAAATCCATATATTTTAATTGTGTTTTATGATAGAACAATAACATTTAGGGTTGGATTTTCTTGTGATAGATTTATGTTATTCGTCCCATGATCTAATAAAACTTGTATTGTTGATTTTGTCTAGGACAACCATGAGGACGATGGTGAGGATTTGCCACCCGATATAAATCAGATAAAAGAGCAAATCGAAGAGGAGAGATTTCTGCATATCAAGGTAAGAGACATTTGGTTGCTTCAATATATTATTCTCTGCTCTATGTTTTTCTGAAAATTAAGGAGATGAGAGACTTAATCGGATAACTATACGATTGCAAATAGATGTTAAGATAAATCTCAATAACATTAATTTTTATATTAATCAGAATCTTTAAAACAAAAAAGAGTAAATTTCAAACCTTTAAATAAGAAAACAAAATTTCGTTGAAAATACGCGCGAATCGATAACAGACATCCAGATCTATTGGATCTTAAGTTTTGGATATCCGTCCAAAACTTCGAATAAAAAATAACTAATATATTTATAATATAAAGATGAAAATTAGGTTTTCAATTAAAACAATAAAACTGTATAATAAAATTGAAAATAGTAGTACAATTTTTTGTTTTTGTCAAACAAAATAGTAGTACAATTTGTTTTTAAAGTACAAAGAAATTAAATAGGTCCAAATCCAAAACTGTATATATTTTTTCCTAGGACTTCAAAATTTAATGGGTCAGGTATATGTATATAAGAAGCCACGATTGATGCATATATAAAGGATTCGAAATCAAAACCTTTATATTCAAATATTCTAGTTTCACTATAGAGTTCCGGTTTCTGATATTTTGAAAATCATTTACCTATATGTTAATTGGTTAACAGAAAACATTCGAGCTGAGATGCATTCCAAGTGTAGCTGCTCATGCTTCACACCATCAATCGTTTGACTTAAACCAGCCCCTTGCAGAGGATGATAATGAAGGAGACAACAAAACACTTCTTTCTAGAATGCAAAACCCACTTCATCATTTCAGTGCCTTATCTGATTCTGATACTTACGAAGATCAAGGTTGTGTTTTTAATAAAGAGGCACCATTATTTCCAAGTGTCAACCTTCCAGTTGTTGAGCAGCTACCACGATCCCTTACATGGGTCTTCATCAAAAGGCATGTTTTTTCTTGTTCCATACTAGTTTCAAAATATTAATCATATACTATATGTCTATATTAATCACTCATAGTGCATATAATACATGTCTTTAACACTGCAGTAGCCAGCTGATGGCTGAAAGTGATTCTGTGATTGGTAAGAGACAAATCTATTATTTGAATGGTGAGGCACTAGAATTGAGCAGCGAAGAAGATGAAGAAGATGAAGAAGAAGATGAGGAAGAAGCCAAGAAAGAAAAATGCGAATTTTCCAAAGATGTAGACCGGTTTATATGGTTAGTTTTTTGCATAACATATATATGTTCTTGATTATTAATGTATATATGTACTCAACTAGTCCATATTTAATAAACTGGTCAAGAAATTTCCAGGACTGTTGGGCAGGATTATGGTTTGGATGATCTGGTCGTGCAGCGTGCTCTCGCCAAGTTCCTCGAAGTGGAAGTTTCCGATATATTGGTAATAATCGATCGATTCGAATCTTCATACATCGATCAATAATCTTCTCGCTTATTTTTGTTGTTTTCTCTCAAATCTATGCAGGAAAGATACAATGAGCTCAAGCTTAAGAATGATGAAACTGTTGGTGAGGCTTCTGATTTGACATCCAAGACAATAACTACTGCTTTTCAGGATTTTGCTGATAGACGTCATTGCCGCCGTTGCTTGGTAACTTTGAATCTTTCCTTTTTAATTTAGCCACAAAAAAAAAAAAGAGAAGATCATACATATTTTTATTTTGTTTTATTAATTCATTTTTACAGATATTTGATTGTCATATGCATGAGAAGTTTGAGCCCGAGTTTAGACCCGTAAGCTTAAATTTATTCATTTAAATAAGTTTTTAGTTCCACAAGCCTTATATATAAGCTTAAGTGATTAACTTAATTAGATTGCTTTGGCTTGTCAGAGCGAAGACAAATCTGGTTTGTTTGAGAATGAAGATAGAGAACCATGCAGTGAGCATTGTTACCTCAAGGTCTCTATCTCTCTCCCTTTCTCTCTCTCTCTCTCTCGCAATATTTGTTTATTTCTTAATTACGTTTTATTACTGGTTTAATATTTAATAGGTGAGGAGTGTGACAGAAGCTGATCATGCGGTAGATAATGATAACTCTATATCAAACAAGAATGTGGTCTCAGATCCAAACACAACTATGTGGACGCCTGTGGAGAAGGATCTTTACTTGAAAGGAGTTCAAATCTTTGGGAGAAACAGGTAAAAAATTAATAATAGATTTCATGCATGAATATATATACTTACACTGTATTCCTTGATCATGCTTGTTCGCAGTTGTGCTATTACATTAAACATACTTCGGGGGCTTAAGACGTGTCTAGAGGTTTACAATTACATGCTTGAACAAGATCAATGTACTATGTCATTAGTCCTTCACAAAACTACAAAAACAAAGAATCAGGTAAACAAAACTTATGTCCCAATCCTCATGACATGTATATATGTTATAAAAACACATTATTCAAGTTTCATTTTGATGGTCTCATCATAATTACAGGTTAACAAAAAAGTATCTCGAAAAGGTACTAGGTCGGTCCGCAAAAAATCCAGACTCCGAAAATATGCTCGTTATCCGCCTGCTTTGAAGAAAACAACTAATGGAGAAGCTAAGTTTTATAAGCACTACTCACCATGCACTTGCAAGTCAAAATGTGGATATCAATGCCCTTGTTTAACTAATGAAAATTGCTGTGAGAAATATTGCGGGTATGTCATTCTTTTAAAACGTTTTTGAGGTCTATAATCCATAAGATTTTTAATTTGAACATGAGTTTGTATTTTTTGTTCAGGTGCCCGAAGGATTGCAACAATCGCTTTGGAGGATGTAATTGTGCAATTGGCCAATGCACAAACCGACAATGTCCTTGCTTTGCTGCTAATCGTGAATGCGATCCAGATCTATGTCGGAGTTGTCCTCTTAGGTAACACTTTCACTTTAATATATCTCTTTACAAATTCGATGATTAAAGTTGAAACTAAAAGTCTTTATACATAGCTGTGGAGATGGCTCTCTTGGTGAGCCATCAGAGCAAATACAATGCAAGAACATGCATTTCCTCCTTAAAAAAAATAAGAAGGTAACCATCAACGTCAAATCCGTATCTAAAATTTAAAGTGATTATACAGAAAAAAATTAATTATCTTCTTTTCGTATTCACTAGATTCTCATTGGAAAGTCTAATGTTCATGGATGGGGTGCATTTACACCGGTAAGCAATCTTCTGAATATAAGGATAAATTTAATATATAGTTACTGGGGCATTGATATATAACTCTTTTCTTTGTTTGTTTATAATGTTTTATACTCTAGACCATTAAATATGTTGTGTGATTTGGTTTGATCCGTCAGGACTCTCTTAAAAAGAATGAGTTTCTAGGAGAATATACTGGAGAACTGATCACTCATGAGGAAGCAAATGAGCGTGGGAGAGTAGAAGATCGGATTGGTTCTTCATACCTCTTTACCTTGAATGATCAGGTAACTTTAGAATAATCAAAGTAACATTTAAATTATTCGCGAGTTACACTTTTGTTCTAATCAAAGTAACATTTTACAGCTCGAAATCGATGCTCGCCGTTATGGAAACAAGTTCAAATTTCTCAATCACTCAGCAAGACCTAACTGCTACGCCAAGGTACCAAGCCATTCTACTTTATCTTGAAGTACATATACTAACATTAACAAACAAAAATACTTATGTTAGTTTTTTTAGTTAAATCATATAGTATTAACTTTACTCGTTGCTGATTGATTCTCATATGGAATCATATATCTCCAAAACATTCCAAAATGACTCAAAACTAATATTAAATAATGGTTTCGTGTGCAGTTGATGATTGTGAGAGGAGATCAGAGGATTGGTCTATTTGCAGAGAGAGCAATCGAACAAAATGAGGAGCTTTTCTTCGACTACTGCTATGGACCAGAGCATGCGGATTGGTCTCGTGGTCGAGAACCTAGAAAGACTGGTGCTTCTAAAAGGTCTAAGGAAGCCCGTCCATCTAGATAGATTTGGATCTGAGGAGAAGCAGCAATACAAGCAGTCGTTTTTTAAAGTTATGGTAATATCAATAAATAATGTAATGCTATTTTGTGTTACTAAACCAAAACTTAAGTTTCTGTTTAATTTGTTTCAGGGTTTTTTGTTTTGTTTGTCATATGTGTCTTAAGCTCTCAAAGTTTTATTTTTGTATTTCAATTAAAAAAAAAAAGACAATGTTTATGTTGTTAGTTTGCATAGAACTTTGAAAAAAACAAACTATGCACAAATTTACAGTTATTAGTCTTCATATAGCGGAAAGGCACATCTACTATACATTTTTGCAGCAGTTTTTGGGGTACCCAAATCGGGTCAAATTTGTTTAATTTTGACCCGGAAATCTTCAATCGGATCTTTCCTTAAATTTTGGCAAAATTAAAAAACGAAAATAATTAATAAAATCTAAAATATATATACTTTCTCAACTAATTACTATATTTAAACGCTTTATTTATGGTATATTCTCCACGATTTTTATAGATAAAGAAATCAAATATGATGATTTAATGCTAATATAACAAATTTGCACTAATTTCCTAAAACCTCTCTACCTAATTTAAACATAAATATATGATTCTTATTTCACTTTTATTTGATCTTATATTTATATTATTTTAAATTATTATAAAATATATAAATAGTTAGTAAATTTTAGTTTTTTTTTTCTGCATATGTTACAATTCAAATTTTTTAAAACGGACATATATTTCTCAATCGATGAATAAAAATATGTGTATAATCTATATTAACATTTTTAAGAACAAATTGAGCATTTAATCATGTCGTTATTTTATTCAGACCCGAAATTGAGTCATTCGGATCTTTCTTTAATTTTTACAATTATCTAAAATGGGACAGTATATCACGGGTGAAATCCTAATTAGTATTTTAAGATACAATTATAAATTGTTTTTACGGGTTGGTCCAAAAACACACACTAATTTAAAAATATACATGTAAACTATTTGAAAGCAACTTTCAAATTAACTAGAATTATATGACATTTAAATAAAAGTGTTATTAAAAAATAACAAAATGATGTTTAATTTCATTTTAGATTATATGGTTGGACGGGTTTGGGTCAATATTAATACGAGACAATATACCACAGGTGAAATCCTATAAATAACAAATCAAAATACAATTATACAATCTTAAACACTAAACAAAACAAATACAACTTAAAAATTTTTATTTTAGATACAACGCATGTGACCCGCGGTATACAACAAAAAATATTATACACAATAAATTCATCAATTTATAAAAATAAAAAAATCAAATAATTAACCCGCGGTACACCGCGGGTCATATCCTAGTATATAACAACAAGTGGTACGTAATGTACAACAATGTTAAAATTAATGGGTTATATAATTTTTTTAAAAAAATAATTGGTTATGAATGAATTATAGTTAGAATTTTAGGTCTTGTTGGTAAATGGTAATTGTTATACGATTTTAAAAAAAAAATCAAGATTATAATTTTCTAGTCTATTCTCAACTGAATTTTCACTCTGAGACAATCTATCATCCAACGTAGGTCAACACGACTGTTTACGTTTATTATATAAAACATAGAAGAAACATCAACAAAGTGGCTGTAGTTTAGTGGTAAGAATTCCACGTTGTGGCCGTGGAGACCTGGGCTCGAATCCCAGCAGCCACACTTTAAGCCTTTTTCATCCTTTTCTTCATACAAGGGTGTTTTCGTCATTTAACCCTTAAATCGTCATTAGATCTTGACCGTCCATATCTCCACATGTCCTTAATTGGCGCTATCTCTGTTTTGATTAACTCAATCAAATTGGGCTATTTGAATTTATTCCCACTGGGCCGAATCATTATATCTGTTTTTAAGATCTTTCAATTTCGCTTTGTTTTTTCAGCAAGTTTCCATGAACATTTCATCCTATATTTATGTTTAAATATTTGATTAACATCTACATATAGTCCTTAACATAATATACATTTGCTAAGGGTTACATATTCCTATTTTGTGGGGGTACATTACATATTTTCTGAATAAAGGTTTGAACAAAATGAAAAAAAACAAAAAAAAGTTCAAGCCAAATGTTGTTGTTGCTCTTCCTCCTCCAAACCATGATCTTCTTCTTCAGAGCTCAATGTATCTTCTTCAGATTCCTATTGAAACAAATGACCAAAATTAAAAGTCAACATAGAGGTAATATATAGAGGTTTAACAACTTAGAATCAAATATGTAGACTGTGGAATGTAAGAATGAGACAAAATCGTTAAACATTTTTACAACAAAAAATATAACAATCAGCAGTTCATATTTTGAGAGCTTACGAGAATTTGATATCGGAGACTCCTCTGAATAGCTGCGATGGTTCGAATGATAACGAGCATTGGCAATAGTATGCCTATGGCCTTCAATGTTAATACCTGCCATTATTTTCACAATCAATTTTAGTTTTGAAGACATGCAAAACTAAATAGTAAATCAACTTGTTTATCTCTAGAATCATAATTAGAAAAAGAAGAGCAATTTACAGTGAATATTGTATAGGGATACTCTTCGGTGCCATAAACCGCATCAAATGCATGCTTTATCAACAAAACCACCGAAAACTGCAAAAAAAAAAAAAAAAAATATCAATTTAATTCCAACCAAAAGAGTCACGCCGTAAAAGATGTACCCATAAGAATATGGATATGATATGATATGATATCTAGCTCAAATAAAATTGGTTTGGTTCAATTTGGGTATGGCTTGAATATGGGTTAAAGCTTGGAAAAGACGTCATGGGCTATGTTACCACTTACCACTATGAACCATTTCTGAATTTAGTAACACAGACATTCTTTTGGTTCCAAAAGAGGAAACCTTTTTCTTTCTTTAGTTTTTTTTGGTCGACCAAACAAACCCACCGAACCTAAATGCCTATATTTATCTCTATATTTCATAGCACCACCAAACTTGAACCATTTCTAACGCAAAACGATACAAATTTTGTTTTGTTCAAAAAAAAAAAAAAAAAAAAAACGCTTGTATTTATTTCTATATTTCATAGCACCACCAAACTTGAACCATTTCTAACGCAAAACAATACAAATTTTGTTTTGTTCAAAAAAAAAAAAAAAAAAACGATACAAATTTTGTTTTCAAAATTAAAATATTAAAGTTCGGGTTAACAAGTATATACCCGTTTTTGTTAGCAAGGAGTAATTGTTTCACTAGCTTTTGTATTACTATAAATTATAAACGATTGATAATCAAGTGGACATATTTATTATTTATTGTTACCAATCATGCGGACCTTTAATGTCGATTCGATAGAAGTGGTTGCCATTTCTGTGATTTGGACCTCACTAAACCAAGGTTTCTCGTTTCCACACCCATCATTTACTAATTAGTTCAATGTCTATATCATCAATTATGTTTTATAATCTCATACGAATATAATCGATATGTTACGTAAAACATAAAAAAAAAAACAAAAAAAGGGGATCGATTTAGAACTTACAATGAGAGCCAAGAATCTACAACAAGAGGCGCCTCTATGAACACCAGAGTTGCATTCTTGAAAATCTGATTCTTCTCTATTCACTAATCTTCTATTTCTTCTTCCTCCATTTTCTCTCCTCGCTGTGTGTAAATTATCTCTGTTCATAAATTAAATTATTATTTTTCTTCGTTTTGGATTATTTTTTCATCCTAAATTTCATTCAAGATAAAATCTAAACCTGAAATATAAGATTTTCAGAAAATTAATCACCTGATTGTGACTGCTGCTTCAATCAATCGAGATGGTTTTGAAGTTGTGGTGTATCCAGGTTTATACTCCTGCAATATTACAAATTTATTAAACTATTTTCTTTGTCAACATTATACTATTAATTCTGAGTATATTTATAAACCAATAAAAAAAATCAAGCCAATAAAGAAAATAAAGTTAGTAAACCACATAACTGAACCGAAACTGAAATAATCCAGCCCGAATCAGAAAAGTAAGTCCTCCAAGTTTGTTATGGGTCCCATGAAACGATGGATCCAGTTACCATTTTTGTTCCTAACTCTTTTCGTAATTCATTTAATTTATAGATTACACAAATAAATAAATAAAAATACGCGAAAATATCATATCATAAACAGCGTGGCATTGGCTCATTGATTACGATCTTTTACGAGAATCGAATATTTTTCCTTTTCTAATTATGCCAAAGATTATGGGACACGAACGATAAAAGTGTTTGTTACACGTATCGTTGTTATTCAAAAAAAATAGATGAGACGTCGAAGAAACAAAAAAATAAAACAATTACGTAAGTTCAAAATTTTGGGAGAAGATAGAAAAACAAATTATAAGCTAAACATCACAAAAGCAAAACCCCAAAAAAAAAAAAGAAATTAATTATTAGACAAATAAAAAAAATATTGATAAATTCGAAATCAAACCTGGAGACAAATTTCACAAATTGTGTTTCCTTTCTCATCACACCATCGTTGTATGCAATCTCTGTGAGCGAACTAATATTCCAACGAAATCACAATAATCAATATCGGTTTTCAAATTTAAATTCAAAGTTAACATTATAAAAAAAAAAACAAATCTTGATATCGATATTTACCTTGATGGTTCCTGAACAAGAACAAGGAGCTTCAAAGTAGCTCTCAGCTTCTTCTTCGTGACAGATTCTACAGCGATTAAAACTCGATTTCCAATATGTTTCATCTATGAACAATACTACTTCTCCCATCTTCTCTGCGTTTGAATTTTAGATTAAAAAAAAAAAGGGCTCCAATCTCTGCTTTTTGCAAAATATGCTCTTGACCAAAAAAAAAAATGCTCTGTTTTTTGTTTTCCTCTGAAGAAGAACAAATGAAAGAGAAGCGAAAGAGTCCAACTTTAAAAGGTGCTCGTAAGCGAAAGTTTACCCTTTCCTCTGTTTGTTTTTTGGATAAAATATATATTCCTTAATCCTCTTCGCTAATGGTCCAAGATTCTCAAATATTATCATTATTTTTTACTAATAATGTAAGCTGTAATAACAATTTTCCAACATTGTAAGCTTTGACCAAATGTTTTTGACTTTTTGCTGTAGTTTGTTTTGGCTGTTCAGATAATACTATAGTTGTAACTTTGAATTTTGACTGTTAATTAATTTAAATCATTGTATCTATAAGCTATATTGGGTTAAGAAAACTACAATGTGATTCTGCGAAAGCTGGCGCGGGCATCCTTTTTAAATCTCATTCACAGGTGCTTTTGAGGAAGAGGTTTCTTTGCAATCTTTGGTTTATTGCTTCCCTTAGGATTTATGCTTTATTCCCTCTGTTCTTAGTTTATAGCGTCGTCCTCTTTCGATTCGAATTTTCTGCTTGGTATTTCTGATGTTTTTAGCTTCCCTTTCTTAGGGCTTAGTTTCCGGGGAAATCACGTCTTCCGCCGGCTTTAGTTTCTGGGGATTTTTCTTTTGTCCGCCAACTTTAGTTTCCTTTGTTTGGGCATTTATAATTCTCCTTGTTTCCACAACAAATTTAATTAATCAAATTTCAGATGACAAAAAAAAAAAAGATTCTGCGAAAGCTGTAACAAAATGGATAATACAAAAAAAAGGTTGTATGTATAGTTACGAGATCACACAGGTCAAAGCATTCGCTGTATTTTTTTGTCATCTATCTTTTGTTTTGTATAATATTTGATAGCAAATCATAAATATAGTATACGTTACTTATGTATTTACACAATTAGTTATTTTCAAATTTTGTTTGCCGTGTTCAATATCTTAAAAGATAGTCACAAACTCACAATGTTTACATAAGTACGAGGGAAAAACCCCACACGAATATTTAGATCCATTTTTTTTTATTTTTTTTTTACTTATTTAGTTGTTTAAGTAATGATTTCTTATTTCCTTGGTCATTCTTTTTTGTTAAACAGTTTTCGAGATTTTTTCTTGTTTTCTTGATCTTTGTGAAATAAATATATACAGAATCTTTCTTTGAAATTAGTTATTGCATTTAGACAAATGTGTGATAAATATAGTATACAAGGATATTTGTGAATTTAATTATGTGAAAATATAAAGGACATTCCAAGACAAAATCGAAATATTAAAACAGGGCGACTCTTACTTGGTTCACGTAATTATTCAAATTTAGTATTTTATTTATAAAGATTTCAAGGCTTCAACTTACAAGTCTTCTATTTATATTATTTTATATACTTGAATGTTAATTATTGTCTTTTGCAACGGAGTTTTGCCCAAAAGAACTCTACTACTGTAAACAGTAATCATTATTATGCGACGTATAATTAATATAATCACATATATAACATCGATGATGGTTTTATGCAAAACTTTTTGCACACGTTGAGATAAAGAAGACTAAATGCGAACACACACATATAAGAATTGTTTTAGCTTTTTCCCACTCTCAAAGAACACTTGGACGCAGACATTTGGGCTTATCTTATTCTGTTCCGATCTTATCTACTACGTTGGAGTTTTTTTTCGGCTGATTACTGTAATTAACATCCACAAAAAAAAAAGAGCAAAAAAACAATATTGATGGTCGGCAAAATCCTCCCATTATTACTAGAAATACGTTGACAACAAATAAAAAACCTACTAATAGAAATATCTTTTGTCTGAATTTCATGAAAATACCACGACTCACTTTCTTATCAGAATTTACGTCTTTCATATTTTATTTTTTAAAACTCTTTCATACTTATAATTTTAGTTACATCCCACTAAAAATTTGTAGATTCAAATTAACAAACAATATTTTTTAAATCCCAAAGTTCTGTTGCTAATTACAAATATAATCGAGATTTTTTACTTATTCCACAAATATATTATATATCATTCGATTTTTAACTTTACTTATGTATTATGGTGTGTGAGTTGTAGAAAAAAAGAAAAGATAAGAGAGTATTAGATAGAGACCAATTCCACTTGCTAAGCAAATATCTCCTCTCAATGGGCCCTCTCACTCGGTCCAAAAGCTTGCAATAGTGCGTGGATTAACACGACGCCGTTCCATGGTCCTTTCATTATCACAGGAATCTACACACTTCATGCCGTTTTACTCAGATAATAACATCAGAATCAATACACTGCTTGCCGTTTTAATACTTGCTCAAAATATCCTCGCAAGTTTTCTTCTTCGTCTCTGTCTTGTCTCTTTTCTCTTTACTCGTCTTCGAAGCTAAAAATTCGAAAAGGTTAGCAACGATCTCGTCGCGATCTGGTATTCGTTGGATCGTGCGGCGATGTTCTTGGTAGATTGGTTCTACGGCGTGCTCGCTTCGTTAGGTCTATGGCAGAAAGAAGCCAAGATCTTGTTTCTAGGTCTCGATAATGCCGGTAAAACCACCTTGCTTCACATGTTGAAAGACGAGGTTCGATTCTCTCGCTTCTCCCTTATTTCACCTCCTTCTTCTTAGATCATGTTCTAGTTTCAGCTATCGAATCGATCCAATTCGTTTTTGATTTCCATTTGTTCCCGTTGAAATTTCGTTTGATTTGTCTGGATTTGTTCTTCAACTGATTATTAGATGTTCAAATTCGTGTGTAATTGGAATCTGGGTGTTGAAACAGAGCTTAGAAGAGTCTAGTTTTGGAGTAGATTCTGATCTTATTTTAGCAGTTTGAGCCAAATTAGGGTTTTACTTTTTATGCATTCAGGTTCGATCTCACGTAACTCCAGATGTTTACTTTGATATCAATTTTCGTTTCCTGATTGAATCAGTTTCTATTTGTTTCTTACTTAATTTAGCTTAACGCTTTTGGAGATTTGTGTAACAGAGATTGGTGCAGCATCAACCAACTCAGCATCCAACCTCTGAAGAACTTAGCATTGGCAAAATCAAATTCAAGGCTTTTGACTTGGGCGGTCATCAAATTGCACGAAGAGTGTGGAAAGATTACTATGCTAAGGTTAAATATCTTACTAATCCTTCCTTTATGCACTAAGATCCTTGAGAAGCCTTCTTTGAAGATCACTTCACATTCTCACTAAGGAATGTTTGCACTCATTGGTTCAACTACATCTAACACAAACTGATACGCATTGTCTTATTGAAGACATTCTAAATGCAGCTTTGTGTCTAAAATCATTCATAGGGTATTGATTCTTGTTGATGGTTTCACAGGTTGATGCTGTGGTTTACCTAGTGGATGCTTATGACAAGGAGAGATTTGCAGAATCAAAAAAGGAGCTTGATGCACTTCTCTCAGATGAATCCTTAGCCACTGTCCCATTCCTCATCTTAGGGAACAAAATCGACATACCTTACGCTGCATCTGAGGACGAGCTTCGATTCCATCTTGGTCTCTCCAATTTCACAACTGGTAAAGGCAAAGTGAATCTAACTGATTCGAATGTGAGACCATTGGAGGTGTTTATGTGCAGCATTGTTAGAAAAATGGGATATGGTGAAGGCTTCAAGTGGCTCTCTCAATACATCAAATAGATCGCGCTATCCCTTTGAGTGTCTCTATAGAATCTATATGTCTGTTTTCCGTAATTTGCTTCTTGTACTGTTTTCTCATATTTTGCTTCTCGTACTTTAGCTCTCTATCTTGTATTTAGATTCGTATTCTGAATATATCATCAGTTTCATGTAATTCATCAGCTCTCTCTCTCTCTTTCTTCCGGTTTGTTCATCATGAACCAAACCATTTTCGTGGTAAATTTCATATGGGAGATACATGTGAAAGATAGAATCAATAAAATACATCAACTTGAACCATCTTCAATTTAAAACAAAACAACTTAGGCCTTCTTCAGTTCTATTACTTCATGTCTACTCTTCTTCAACTTGGGACCATTTCAATTACTGCTTAAAAAACAAATGCAGAGGGAGGGGGTTACCTTAAGATTAGGGCAACAAGACTACTTGCAAGCAATGACAAAATGTATTAATACAACAAATCCGTCCGGTTTGGCTAGGATGCTTGATTACCTTACGTTGATGTCGCTTACAAGCAAGATGAAAGGTGAAATTTTTATCAAAATGACGGCAGCATACCCAGCAATACAAATCCCCCAGCAAGTATTCACTCGTTTCACAGCAAGCCTCAAGTGCCCTTGAATCTGGGGAATAAAATAAAAGCACCCAAGTTAGTTGACCATCAGATTGTAGCCAATAGTAGTGCTGTTCATTTTCATTTCAACAACACTGACAAACACACACACCTGCCAAAAAAAAGCTTTCATGAGAATCACATGGCGGCTCAACAATGTTGTATCCCTTCGACTGTAGCCCGAAAACATCATCAGAAGCAGAGTGTTTTGCATCGGATATGACCATTACATTAGCTGGAGGTGGATTCCAATCCATAAACTCATAAATATGACGTTCCAGAGATATTGAAAACCCTGTTTCAGAAACTTAAAGACTTGAGACTCTCTATTCAACATCCAATACTACGAAAAGACCCAAGGATGAAAAAAATCCTAACCATAGGGGATGCAATCAAGACCGATTCCACTTGAATGGACTCCTCTCAGGATGTCATAAGGGACGTCTTCTAGTGCGCCCATGGCAGTGATGGTGAGAGGACCAGAGTAGCCTTTATTCTCCAAAAACCGTTTAATACACGGACCGACACGATGAGGATCACAGCCAGGTGGAACCGGACGCATCTTGATATCCCAATAGACCGATGTTACAGCCTCCAGGTTTTCCTCAAGAGGCTCACGTAGTGGTGCATCCAAGCAATGTCCACTTCTCATGAGCAACAGGTCAGACAACTGCTTGAAACACATCCAGTAAAAAAAATAAGACAACATAAGGTCAAATTTAGGCAAACAAAAGTGAAGAAGTTGTTTGACTTAAAAATAGTTAACAAAATGAATTGATACAGTATAAGTCCGTCCAGTTTGATTACCTTCCGTTGATGGTATATACCAAAGAGATGCTTGGTGAAACTATCAAAGCTTTGGCAAGGAAAATTTCGGAAACCAAAAGGGAGATTCACCCGTTTCACTGCAATCATCCTCCTCAAGTGTCACCGAGTCTGAAGAAAAAAAAAAAAAGTAACCAGTTGAACAACAGATTTGCTGGTTATTTCAACAACACTGTGACAAAGGACAATGACACACCTGCCAGACAAAAGCTTTAAAGAGAATTAAGCAGCTTAAAGTTGCAAAATGGTGTCTGTAGCACGTCAGACTGATTAGTCAAGCTTTCGTCATTGGATATGACCATTATATTATGTAGAGGTCCATTCGTATGGCAACACTCAAAAATGAGGCTCGGGATGTCTGCAGAACCTGTTTCAGAAACTAAAAAACTTGAGACATTTCCTAATCAATCATCAAGGAAAATATCCATTACTGTAGAATGCCCCAAGGATGAGAAATATTAACCGTAGGGGACGATATGAAATGTGATGCCACTGGAATAGAGTGCTCTCAGGATGTCAGTAGGGACGTCTGCTAGTACGCCAATGGCAATGATGGTGAGAGGACCAGAGAAGCCTTCTTTCTCCAAGAAGAATAGCATCACAGTCGTGGGGAACCGGACACAACTTGATGTCCCAATAGACACCCTCCGACTTTGCAGTCTTCAAGTCTGTCAGAATGGGCCCCTGTTTGAGCCTCATCATTTGGCGCTCAATCAGATAGGCAGACACATGCACCTGGTAAGAGGATTTGAAGTAGATAACATGGTGGCCAAATGCAGGCAAAGAAAGTAAAAATTAAGACTTTGGTAGCGCTTACTCACCCTGGAGAGATCAACCGGGGGACGACGCATAGTATTCCTAGTCGTAGTAAGCTGGAACATTAAATGAATGAGGGATGGGGTCAAAACAAGGCAAAAAAAAACAGGTAGACAATGAGAATTACCCCAAGTTTATGGTCTGCATTAGATAGATGTGTGATGAAATTATTAAAGCCGAGGGCAGGAGGATCATGACGGCATACAAGGCAAATGCCATGAGGCAGATTCACCCGTTTCCTCCTCAAGTACCCCTGAATCTGTGGGGCAACAGATTCATGTGTTTTGTTGGTGATTTCGTACAACAAGACTGAGAGAGGACAAACACGCGTACACACCTTCCTTAATTAAGCTGTCAAGAGAATGAAATGGAAACGGCCTGAGAGGGTTGTAGCCAAACGCTTGTAAAGTCTTAAATAAACCAGGGCAGGCTTTCGAATAGGATATGACCATAAAATTAGCTGTCTCATCCATCTCAATTAAACCCGTACGTAGGAACCTGTTTGAGAAAAAAGAAAGACATGAGACTCTCTATTACTTTTGGAAAGGCATAATAAAAGGATGAGAGAAGATATCTAACCCAAGGGGCCGATGGTAAGATGGATTCCACTGGAATAGAGTGCTTTCAGGGTGTCAGTAGGGACGTCCTCTAGTTTGCCAATGGCAGTGACGGTGAGAGGACCACAATAGCCATTATTCCCCAAAAGCCGTTTAATACTCGGAAGGATCACACGAGGGTCACAACCATCTGGAACCGGACACTTGATGATGTCCCAAAAGACCAATGTTAAAGCCTTAGCCTGCTCCTAGGGTTTCGAAAGTCCTAATTCAAGAAAAATTTGAATATCGTCCCGTTTATATATATATATATGGGTTGATAATGGGCTTCGTTTTCATGGGCCTACAGTTTATATAAATCGGCCTTGTGCAACCAATCCTATTTAATAAAGATTTCTTCTGATCTTTTGATCAACATAACCTGTATAAAACCAGCATCGTTGTGATGATGAGAAAAGAAGCTCCAAGTTTTTTATACTTATAGAATCATGGATCTGTTTGATCGACAAGACATTTGCTTGGCAAAAAATCCGAACATTTCATTTAAATTGTGTTCCCATTGAACTAAAAGGATTAAAATCTGATTGGATGTGTTTGAATGAGAAAGGGATATGACCATTGAACTAAAAGGATATGTTTTCAAAACTTTCCGGCTTTGCGTTATTGACAAGCCATCTTCCCGTGAATATAAATAAATAAATACTATAGTTTATAATATAACCCATGTTATTCTAGAAGGGGAGAAATATGAAAGGTATTTCTGGCTAACAGGAAATGTGTATGCACTTGTTTGGTTGTTCCATTGATGGTGTTTGGTATCAATGAAAAATTGAATTAAAACAATTCCAATAGACATTTGAACATACTATGGCAAATAAGATTATATTATGTGCTATCTTTTTAAAAAAATTTCTGGTTGGTCCACTGACATGAACAATCTCTACAGAGCCGTGCCTACTAAGGAAAAAAAGAAACACTCGCCTACGTTGCAGAATTTTGTAGATTATCTAAGAGGTTAATTTGTTAATTGTGTTTATCATATAAAAACTATTGAAGCAATAACTTTAGGGAGATTAATATAAATAATAAAAGAAAGTAATATAATGTGCAATATATATAAGGAATCTTAAATTTCCACACTTAAGGCAATAACTCAAAGTCTTCTTTTCTCAGTTTTTTTTTTTTATCTCATCAAACCTTTTTTTCTCACTTCTTTACCAGCTTCATTTTTCTTAATCATATTTATCCAACTTTATTAATCATCTTTATCCAACTTTATCTTCAGTATCTTAGTTTTGTTTTGTTAACAAGATACATTATACCGTTTGAATGGTAACACAACAACGATATGAAAGTATATTTTTCTGTTTCTTTTTGTTTTGTAATTATTTTGTTCAGAAGTTATTTTATAAGTTTTACTTAAAATTTTGTAAATTTATTATTAAACTTTAAACAGTAAATTATATTTTTGTTATGTGTATAATATTTTATTTAAATATGAAAGTATATTTTTTCGCCTATGGCATCAAAATTCCTTGGCACGGCTCTGAATCTCTAGATAAATTTATGTAGAAGAAACAAAAAGAAATGACAATTTCATTCCTTATCCCTCCCTCAGTCGATGATGCAAGTCTGATATGGATAAGAATGCCCATTCTCTGTGTCATCTTTTTCCTTTTGCTTTCTTTCCTTTTATTAGATTAACCAAACAGAACTTTTTTATTGGATCATAATGGAACTGAATTCTGTTGAAATCTTCATTTCGTATATTTGTTGAGCTTTTTTCTTGGTTGAAGTGATTTAAGTACTTTTTCTATTACATAAAAATGATGGGAATTAACAAGTAATAAAACGAAGATCGTATCAGCTAATAATGTCAACATCATATGAATATGAATATGATGGTGGTGGTGGATAATGTTTAACGTTATAAGTTATAACTGCTCCCTCCATTTTATCTTAAGGACCCAACCAAAGTTCATTATTAGCCCCTCCTTTGTTTTCAACACTTTGCTTTATTCACAATCAACCAATTCTACTCCTTAAATTTCATTATTGTACTCTGTTATTCTATCTATATTTCATAGTAATATTTACACTTTTTTCGCCATATACCTTATTATTGCAGAAGAGGTTAAAATATGTGAGATATATATCTCTTGCTCAAAAGTCAAAACTTTTGAGTCAAAAGTAATGGGTGTACACTTGTTATCCATATCCTCCGAAGAATAATAAAATATTAAATTTTCTTAAACATACTACATATAAAGACAAAATATTATCTAAGAAGATAATATAATAATGTACTACTATAATCAAAGATTAATTATACATGTAAATATGTTTTAAAAAAAAAGTAGAAAACATTTCACACGGAGACTCAAATAAAAGAAATTCCACCAATCAAGACAAGGTAAGGTAGACCGCAAGTGGATTTTGATTCCTTTTTCCCCTTTTGTATCTTATAATGTTTTATTGAATTTTGCAATTAGAAACAGTGGCACATTCATTGTACTCCGTAAAATATTTTTGGGGAAAATATTAATGCTAGAAAAGAGGCTATTTCGATATTTTACTCCAATTTAATTTATATTATGAAACTATAATGTGTGGCATTTTTTAAGCGAGTTCCATGTTAGCGCATAAAATTTGCCACGTCTAGGGTCTAAATTTTTTTTAGATGAGCCAGAGCCAACCAATAACAGAGCCACAAACAAGACCTAGTCCTAGAAAAACAACCATGAAGATGGCTGCAAGTTCTGCTTCTGATGCATGAACCGTTTTGGGAGCCATGATCATGAGCACGCTAGTGAGGTAGCCGTTGGTAAGACCTAGCATGAACGTCAAGACAACCACTGGCACTTCTGTTCTTAACCATTGCGGTCCACGTAGACACGCAGAGAAAAGAGGATAAAACAGAAGCCTCACGATACAAGCCCATGTAGCCGATTTTATACTCTGCCATACATAGAGTGCAGTGAGTGACTTGCCTACGAAATCCGAGATGTTGTACACAGTGATGAGCAAAATAGGATACCAACTTTGGAGAAGTTGGGACTTCAAATTCTCAGCTATAAATCCTGGAAATATCGATAAGGTAACGGTGTATATTATTAGCATACCCGAAGCTGGCCACTTGATCTTCCTCCCAACCATCCATATTGTCAGAGTCGAGTGCAAAGGTTGATGAAATTTGAGGTGTTGTTGCATTACTGGTAACTTGTGGAGCACGTTACAACAAATGAAGCAACATACGAGGATGGTAGAACTAACTATAAAATAGGAATGAGCACTGGTTCGCATCCCCTGCGGTGTTTGTGGCAGCGAAGCTTTAGTGGCAATCCTAAGGAGGGAGATAATAATACCTAGCAAAAACAGAGAAAACCTAATAAGCTTTCGAGAAGATCAATGGCTCAACTCATAGGGCTTAACTATATATCTAAGTATTTAGCTCAAAGTTGTGAGGATTTCAAATCGAAATTGTGAAGAGACCAACACTAGCCTATACAAAACATTAGGTTTACCTGAAGAGGCAGTGCCGGCAAAAATGGCTTGCATGTACTGTCTAGGAAGCTTTCCAGCTGAACCAATCAAACTTCCTCCGACCAATCCATCAGCTAAACCACAGATCACGACTGATCCAACCATCAATTTGTAAGAAACATTCTCACCCTTTTCACCTTTCCAAACCCAATCTATGAAAGGAGAAATCATCATGGCAATGATGAACATGGAAAACCCCAAGTTCATCCTCACTCTATAGCTCAGCCTTGTGTTCCAAGTCATCATCAAAACCAAAACAAGGACCGAGCAGCTCATGTAAGCCACGGTGAAAGTCTTCTCTACATGCTTGTCCGGGTACAAGTAGCCAAAGTAATCAACGGCTGTGATCAAAGCGTTCCATGGTATTAAACTACCAGCCCCCAACAAGAAATGGATCACGTACGCAACTCTATAAGCGTCTCTTGTCTCAACTTCATCAACACTTACTTTCTCATCAACCATTGTAGCTCCTTTTTTTCTCTCTCTTGATCTCACTACTTTGGTTCTTGAAATCTTTCTGATGTTGGTTTCATTATAAAGCAAGTCAGTGTGATGGGGAATTGATTAGATGGTTGTGAGATTTGGTGGTAGCAAGATCAACACGAGTCACATCTTAGCATTATTATTAGGGATTACGATTCTCTGATATGGCTCTAGAGATCATAGCTAGTAGAACAAAGACACACGAGACTGTATGTTTTTTGGTGGGACACAAAACAGATGGGTTAGGATTAAAGTTACTACTTTGTGCATTACATTGGTCGGGACTCTTCTTTTCAGTACCCTTATATTCCATTGACTACTTTCATTTCTTCTTATGATCAATGCCTTACTTAAGTTTTTTCCCACTCAAAACTTAAACATGCAAATTATGTAGTCCGTGGAGTTTTGTTTTTAATTTTATTGTAAAAGTAGAGTTCAAATCTTACTGCTGATTAATTAGGTGTTTCGTCCCAAGGATCGCAATAACCAATGAGTTATTACTTTAGTAATAATTTCATAATGAACACCGAAGATATGAGCCAATAGAGTGTGAGATTTGGGACACTGAAGTAACAAGAGCACAAGTTGATGTCTGTTTCCGACACACAAGCCCATACTTAAACTATTTCTTTTTAATTTATCCTTTCCTATTCTCACGGTTTTTTGTTTCTGCCTATATTCACGGTTTCGTTTTCAAAATTTGATCGTCTTATTATTATTCAAAATATATGTAAATGGATTATACAAACCATATAATCATGAATACGGTAAATCCAAATTAAACTTTGCTAAATCAAAATTTATGTAGTATATAGTGACAAAAAAGCATTGATAGTCAACCAGAAAAGATTCGATCTATACTTGTTCTAACATTGTATATTATTGATTACCCGCAAAATTTGTTCCACATCCCTTTACTCTGCCCAAAGGATGCAATAGTACAAAGAATTACTCGTCTATCTACATGTATATAAGAAATGATTCGTGTAATTCCACTTCACCGGCCACATGTATGTAAGAAAAAAAGAACCAAAAATAAAATCTTTAAAAAGAAGAAGAGGAAAATAAAGATCGTTAAGGAATTTAGAATGGTGACATCTCGTGCAAGCCAAGTTAATTTGTTTACCTGCAAGTGGGAAACAAAAAGTTTTGTTAACAAAAAACAACTAATTGCAAAACAGATTGCTTCAGATATAAATCAACATTTTTCTTTCTTACGATAAAACCTAACAGGCTAACATAATAAAACGAAATTCAAGTAACTAATTTTTTCGCCCATTCAAGTAACAAAGTCGAATTAGAATCAAATCTATTTAACTGCACATAAAAAATCTCTTAGGAACCAGGACCCACACTGTGACAACTGTCTTCCAACACTTTCTAGTTTCAACCATTACATATCCAAAATAGCAGGTTAGTTCACTCATCAAATCTCTCAACTTGTCTTCTCCTCAAATTAAATGTAAATTCTAAAATTTAAATATAAAACCAATTCTTTAGATCTAGATATGTTTAGTTTCGAAATAGTCATATATATATACTAAAAAATGATATTTCCTTGGCAGCGTAAAAAAAAATGATTATTTCACGAAGAGCTACTCATTATCATTATCATGCCATTATCATTGCCTCTCTATATAAACATAACACACAAACTTCACTCACAACAAATCCTTCATCACATTTTCATTTTTCTCTCTTCTATAAAACCCAGAAAGAACTTGGAAGAGGAGAAAACAGAAAGAAATGATTCTCCACAAAATGGCGTTCTTGGCCGCTATTCTCTTCTTCTTGATAAGCAGCAGCAGCGTTTGCGTTCAGAGCCGCGAAACGTTTGCTTGCGATATAAAGGACGCAGCAACAGCTACACTGAGATTCTGTCAACTATCAGTTCCGATAACGGAGAGAGTGAAGGATTTGATCGGACGGTTGACATTGGTCGAGAAAGTGAGCTTGTTAGGGAACACTGCGGCGGCGATACCACGGCTAGGAATCAAAGGGTATGAGTGGTGGTCGGAGGCTTTGCACGGCGTTTCAAATGTAGGTCCCGGTACTAAGTTCGGTGGGGTTTACCCTGCAGCCACCAGTTTCCCTCAAGTCATCACCACCGTTGCTTCTTTCAATGCCTCTTTGTGGGAATCCATCGGACGGGTCAGATTATTTCTCACTCTCTCTCTCTCTTTTATCCATTAAATAGAAACACCTATTTCAATTATTTTTTTGTGTGTGCCCGATCTAACTACTAAATACTTTTCACTATTTTCTCTGTGAAAATGACGTAAATAATAATGTTTTTTTTTTTGTTAAAAACGTAAGTAATAATGTTATTAATTATATACATATACAGCTCACATTTATTAAAATAGCCGTATGTATTTAATTATCTATAGTAGTGCGATATGTGAAATACTTTTAGTGGACCGAAATATTCTCTTTTCTCGAAGTGTTACTAATATTCGTTTTTTTTTGTTGAAATAATTTATTTGATTATATACAATTGTGATATATAGACAGTTTTCGTGTTCTGATTTGTCCGGTACTTCATGCAAATAAAACATACGCACGAATCTCTAATTAGCCTACCGCTATTTAAAGTAACTTTTCTTAAATAAAACTATTTTATTTAAAGTAACTTACTTTAAATATTATTCTTTTCTTGGTTTTGTTTTTCCGCCTCTCCAATTTATGACAAAGATCTGATTCTAACAATTTTTTAAAAAATAATTGAATTAGTTAATGATATATTTATAGGTTACTAGGATAATATGTAAAAAAAATATTAGTACTACTATACAATCATTCCATTAATTAAAAAAAAGGTGAGGAAATGAAATCTGAACTTATCGTACGCTTTTCGCTAAAACCGAGGCATCAAGTTGCATACGATGCTCGCAACTTGCAACATTAGTCAAAGCGCATTTTATCATCAATTAATGCAACCACGACTAAATTACGCTCTCGGGGATGCGTAGGTTGTATCAAATGAGGCCAGAGCCATGTACAACGGTGGTGTTGGTGGGCTTACTTATTGGAGCCCAAACGTTAACATATTGCGGGACCCACGTTGGGGACGTGGACAGGAAACTCCCGGTGAAGATCCAGTCGTAGCCGGTAAATACGCAGCGAGCTACGTCAGAGGTTTACAGGGAAACGACCGTAGCCGGTTAAAAGTAGCTGCTTGTTGCAAACATTTCACAGCTTACGATCTTGATAATTGGAACGGCGTCGATAGATTCCATTTCAACGCTAAGGTTTTTATTTTATTTATTTTTGTCTCTCACTCTTCATTTTTTGTTTTTTGTTCTTTGTTCTCACGTGTTTGGGTTTTGATAGGTAAGCAAGCAAGACATAGAGGACACGTTCGACGTACCGTTCCGTATGTGTGTTAAAGAAGGTAACGTTGCGAGCATTATGTGTTCGTACAATGAAGTTAATGGTGTTCCCACATGTGCTGATCCTAATCTCTTAAAGAAGACCATACGCAATGAATGGGGTCTCAACGGGTAAGATCATGCCACATCAGCTCAAAACATTTCGAATACAGAATTTAGAAAAATCGTTGACCGTTGATTTTTTTGTTTGCAAACAGGTATATCGTGTCTGATTGTGACTCTGTCGGTGTTTTATACGATACGCAACATTACACTGGTACTCCTGAAGAAGCTGCTGCTGATTCCATCAAAGCTGGTAATTTAATTGTAAATTTTAAGTAGACTAAAAACAAAATTGGATATATTTTTTTAAACTAACCAACCTTGTGTATTGGTTGTGTAGGCTTGGATTTAGATTGTGGGCCGTTTCTTGGAGCCCATACAATTGATGCGGTGAAGAAAAACTTGTTGCGTGAGTCTGACGTAGACAATGCCTTAATCAACACGCTAACAGTCCAAATGAGACTGGGAATGTTTGATGGCGATATAGCGGCTCAACCGTACGGACACCTTGGACCGGCACACGTGTGTACACCGGTTCACAAAGGACTAGCTCTCGAAGCAGCTCAACAAGGAATCGTCCTACTCAAGAATCACGGCTCGTCTCTACCTCTCTCAAGCCAACGTCACCGAACTGTCGCCGTAATTGGACCTAATTCTGACGCTACAGTCGCAATGATTGGTAATTATGCAGGAATTGCTTGTGGATATACCAGTCCGGTTCAAGGAATTACCGGTTATGCACGAACGGTTCACCAAAAGGGTTGCGTGGACGTACACTGCATGGACGATAGATTGTTCGATGCCGCGGTTGAAGCTGCTCGTGGAGCTGATGCGACAGTTCTTGTGATGGGTTTGGATCAGTCTATTGAAGCTGAGTTTAAGGACAGAAACAGTTTGCTTTTGCCTGGGAAACAACAAGAGCTTATCTCTAGAGTTGCTAAGGCCGCTAAAGGCCCAGTTATATTAGTATTGATGTCTGGTGGGCCTATCGATATATCTTTTGCTGAGAAGGATCGGAAAATTCCAGCGATTGTTTGGGCCGGGTATCCGGGTCAAGAAGGTGGTACCGCAATCGCCGATATCTTATTCGGCAGTGCTAATCCCGGAGGGAAGCTTCCGATGACTTGGTATCCGCAAGATTATTTAACCAATTTACCAATGACAGAAATGTCAATGCGGCCGATCCATTCGAAGCGGATTCCGGGTCGGACTTACCGGTTCTACGACGGTCCCGTTGTTTACCCGTTCGGGCATGGTTTGAGTTACACGCGCTTTACTCACAGCATAGCCGACGCGCCAAAAGTGATTCCTATAGCTGTTCGTGGTAGAAACGGCACCGTTTCAGGGAAATCAATCCGTGTCACGCACGCTAGGTGTAATCGTCTTTCTCTCGGTGTCCATGTGGATGTTACTAACGTTGGCTCAAGAGATGGGACTCACACAATGCTTGTGTTCTCGGCTCCGCCGGGTGGAGAGTGGGCTCCGAAGAAACAGCTAGTTGCTTTCGAGAGAGTACACGTGGCGGTTGGGGAGAAGAAGCGTGTGCAGGTGAATATACACGTGTGTAAGTATTTAAGTGTAGTGGACCGAGCCGGGAACCGAAGGATTCCGATCGGTGATCATGGAATTCATATTGGAGATGAGAGTCATACGGTGTCGCTTCAAGCTTCTACTCTTGGAGTCATCAAGTCTTGACTCTGTTTTTTCTACTTTTATTGTTGTTACCATCATAAAGAAACTAATTGGATTGTTGTAACACGTCGATTGACGTGAGGGTAGTCTGTAAGGTAAAAAAGAGAAAAAATCTGTTTCTTATGATTCAAAAATGTATTTGATATTGAATTGTATGGCTTTTGATTTTTGAAATAAAAGCTTGTTTTCGGATTTCTTTTTCGTCCATTAACAATTTAAAGCACAAATACAAATCTAGAAGAAAGTTTTCAACTATTTTATGGATGTGTAACACTGTGAAAAAAAAATATATATATATTCTCCTAATTTGACCTCTATCTAATTCTATATGTTCCTCTTATTACTATTTTGAACACCATTCAAACCTTTAATTTACATGGATCCTATTCCTATGTATGTTGTACACACATATAATCTAGTTAGATTTATCTTTCTTTTTCAAAAATGTATTAACTGTTTCCATGTATTGCAGATTTTGTGGACTACTCTGCGGAAATATATACACAACTATATGATAATACAAACAATTTTGCTAATTACTTTTAAAGATTGCCATTAATCTTCTTGGAGTATGATGAAAGAAATCTATAAATAAGTCTAAAAAATACACATGAGCCTTGTGTTTTTGTCAATATACACATGTGCATTCATTGATAGACATTTGGTAAATCCAAAAGCAAAGTGCATTAATTTAAACAGAACTTTTATAACAAAAACAAAACAAGTAACGCTAGTTTTAGGACGTGGCAATAAACAAATAGTAGAAAACATGAGTCTTTTTGGCTTTCTAGACAAGACTTCGTTTTTTTCTTGCATAAACGTTACGATAATGTCAAATTGTAAAAGAATTTTGTAAGGGATCACTCCTTGGTCCGTCAATACATTGTCCACATTCAGACATATTGAAGTAAGATTTAGGCATTAGCTATAAGTTTTCAAGGGCAAATCCGTCATTCTAGCTTTCTTTTATCTTTCTCTGTTTATCTCGTATTTAAGACGATTCACTTGACTTCACATGATTTTCAACTCTCTCTCGACTTTACAGTTTCCCACCTGCCTCTCTCACCTTTAATTCACTGTTTATTAAGAAAGAGAATAGAGACTTCATTGCTTTTCCGGCGATGGCGATTCATCCTTGGTGGAAACGTAACAGAAAGGTAAATACTCTGTTTTTCAACACAAATCAAAATTTGGTTATTAGGTTTATTGAAACATGTTACATGTATCATCTTCATACGAAAATGTATCTGATTTTAAATGTTAGAAAGTGGACAAGTACATGAAGAACGCGAAGGATTTGATAACGAGCCAAGATCCAAACGACATCGTATCAGCTCTAAGCCTCTTGAATTTAACGCTTTCCATCTCTCCTCACCACGAACTCGCTCTGGAACTCAAAGCCAGATCGCTTCTCTACCTTCGTCGTTTCGAAGACGTCGCCGTTTTGCTTCACGATTACATTCCCAGTCTTAGAATCGATAACGAAGATGTCAGCAGTGTCGTCGTCGCTTCATCGGAGCTTTCCTCTCTCAGGCCTCTTCTTCCGAGTGGCTCACCGAGTCATGACTCGTCGTTCAAGTGTTTCTCTTATTCCTACTTGAAGAAGAAGGTCATGGCAGGGTTAAGTAATAATTCTGAAGTACAAGGGCAATGGAGGTATTGCACTCTTTTTAATTATGACCCGGATTTGATTTAACCCGACCGTAACTGATTCGGATCTTCTCTTCTCTGTGGCAGATACTTGGTTTTGGGTCAAGCTTGTTACCATCTGGGTTTAATGGACGACGCGATGATCCTACTCCAAACCGGTAAACGCCTTGCCACGGCGGAGCTCCGCCGCGAAAGCATTTGCTGGTCCGACGATAGCTTCATCCTTTTCACCTCCGAATCGCAGCCACGACCATTCACCGAATCCGAGATCGTATCGCAAATGCTCTCCCAAATCAAGCTCTTCCTCCGACGGCGCACGGCGGCGCTCGCAGCACTCGACGCCGGTCTCTACTCTGAATCCATCCGCCATTTCTCTAAGATCATAGACAGCCGTCGCGGTGCACCGCATAGTTTCCTCGTCGATTGCTTAATCCGTCGTGCCTCCGCCTACAAATCCGCCAGCCGAATCGCGGATTCCATCGCCGATTGCAACTTAACCCTAGCCTTAGACCCGTCGTGCCTAGAAGCTTTAGAAACCAGAGCCGAATTGTTCCGATCGATACGGTGTTTCCCCGACTCGCTTCACGATCTCGAACACTTGAAACTCCTCTTCAATTCAATTTTACGTGACCGGTCATTAACCGGCCCGGTTTGGAAACGGCATAATGTCCGGTACAGAGAAATCCCGGCAAAATTATGTGAATTAACCTCTAATATCAAACAAATGAAGGAGAAAATTACAAACGGAAAAAACGGTAATGAGGATTATTACTCTTTGATGGGAATTGAACGTGGGTGCTCGAGATCGGAGCTGAACCGGGCGTACTTGTTACTGAATCTAAGACATAAATCGGAGAGATCAATGACGTCTATAGACCGGTTCGATATAATCGATGAGGAAGATTAGAAAAAAAAAAAAAAAAAAAAAAAAAAAAAAAAAAAAAAAAAAAAAAGAATTAGCTTCGGTTAAAAACCGAGCTAGAATGTCAACGTTGTTACTCTATAGATTGATCCAGAAGGGATATTACGCCGTAATGAGTGACATTGAAACGGTAGAAGCGGTAAAAGCGGTTATCGATAATCGACGGATTGAAACGCCGATGGATGGTAACAAAGCGGTGGCAGTGGCGGTTGTGAGGAAGAGTAACATCAATTTAAATGTGGTTAAAGGAGTGTTTTGTAGAGATATGGTGGCGGTTGGGACTTTGATTTCCCGTGCCGGTTTAAGACAACCAATTACGGTTTAGTTGCATGCATGTCATAGGATTTTGGAGATTTATCTCTCGTTTTTATTTTTTTCGCTGAGTAAAAGAGTTAATTTTATTTTTGACTTTGGAAAATAAAACGAAACTTTTTCTCATTATATGGTACTATTATCTTATGAGATTTTGACATCATATCAAAGTGAGAGTGACATATTCACCAAACAAAAAAGAAGTGAGAGTGACATTAAAATTATTAAGCTCGTTTACGACAAACCGATTAACCCGACTCATGTAAATATGACAAAATCGAGACAATTTTGCCCTCGTCAGACGCGTAAATGATTTGATTAATCATATTTGTTTTTTCTCAAAACGAAATTAGTAAATTACCATTACTTCAAGACCAAGTTGAAACAAACCAAGTAAAAATCAATATTTTCATTTCACCTACTTTGGTGGTTAGGAAAAAGTCAAAGCTCTCGTAACTATTTTTTCAGGTGGAAAAGTAAATATAATGAATAAAAAAATAAAAAGTAAATGAAAAAAAAGTTTAAAAAAAAAAAAAAAAAGTCAAATAGTCAAATAGTCACTCAATAGTCAAATACGAAAACTGGCAAAAGGACGAATCTTGTTTGATATCTATTTCAGATATGACATTTCAAAAGTTACATGAATCATTCACAGAAATACAACCACGTTAATGAAGTTAACAGTTGCAAAGCCTCGAGTAAAACATCATACCCAGTTTCATATAAAGGTCAAACCAAATCAGAACAACCATTGTCCGACCATTAATGAACTGGTATGATACACACAACTAACCAACAATAAAGAATCAAAATATTTAAGAACATACATTAAGCTATTAGACTTGCCGTTCATAACATGCGCGTTTGATTAAGACCTCCAGCTAAATATTTGTGGTCGTATAATAAGCCTGCCTGTGATTGGTGACAACGTGTCTTGTTGGATTGGATAAACATCGAACTCTCCATTGGGCCACTTTCTTGACAACTCTCCCAACTGTTTTTTTTCTTTTCGTAAAACATAATTAAATAATTTAACAAAAAAACAAAAAGTCCATGCGACCAGTCTATATTTATTTGCTGTGAAGAAATTAACAATTTGATGATCCAATAGTCATTTCTAGGATTAGACAGTTTTCCGCACAAATATCTTCGCAATTTGAAAGTAATTGAAGTCAGATTGATAAGCCTTCAAATTACAATATTAATTTCCTGAAAATATGTCTTAAAAAAGGTGAATTTTCTTTTTCTTCTTCTATGGATTTGCATGGTTTTCGAAAATTAAATATATGAAATTTAGCAATCAGTGGTTAAAAAGAAGAAATCTCAAATATGAATGTTAATTACAATATATATATATATATATATATATATATAAATGATTGTTGACTAATAGAGTGTAATCAAATTGGTTCTTCCCACTTGTTTACACAATACTTTTGCACAATTTATAATTACAAATATTAAAGACTGGTCCCTTTTGTTCCTTTTCCACAACCTTTATGCGTGAAACCAATGTATCTAACAGAGAAAGCCTCCAATGGCCCCAACAAACAAACAAACAAGATATATGAATAAAGAATGATCTAAACCGGTCAAACCAAAATTCGGTTTGAACCGGTATAAGCAAACGATCATAACCCGCCAAGAGAAACTTTTCAACGGAAACTAAAGACGTTGAAAGCACCAAGGAACAACAACTTCACCGGAAACAACATAACAACGATCAAAGGCATATGTTGAGACGCCACAAGGCGGCTAAACCTCTGCAACGACTTTCTTCCTGTCTGCATCATCCCAGAGAAATCCTGACTGTTGATTTGGCCGTTACTGATTGCAATCCCCGAGCTTCCACTTTCTCTAGCCACCAGAATTGGCCACCAAAGACTCCGGCGATGCTCCCTTTTTGCTCTCCGTATCTGATTCACTTCCTTTCTTATTACACTCCTAACCGCTTTCAGATACGAGTTCATATCATGGTCTCTTTGGATTGTTCCGCTGGACCCATAAGCCGATCTGTCGCTGAGTATGTCAAGAGGATGCGGGGTGTTTAAGAAGACCGTCTGCGCGGCTCTTAACCGATCCTCCTCAGAATCTTCATTATTCGGCGATTCGAAATCGCCTGTTAGAAGATATAAACCGTTCCCGGGAGGAAGAAGTTCATGTCCAGGAGAGAATGTCTCATCTGGTTGAAGAATCAGAAGCTCGCCCATCGGAGAATACAACATACTCTGCAAGAAAGATGTCATTAACTACAAAATTCTGAATCATAGCTAGCAATTGATGAGGGATTATAGTTGTAGACTGTAGTACCTGTTTGTTAAGACAAGGATGGCTACGGAAGTTTCCATTAACAGCTTTGAGAAGCTCGGCAACATGGTACGGATAGTTACAAGAAAAAGCTCTCGGGACAATGTCACGGTGCATTATGATAGCTTGAACATGGCTTTTAGGCAATCCGAGTTTTTTAAGAAGACGGTCGCCTCCACATAGCACAAATGGTGCACCATATGTTATAACCGGAAGTAAAGAAGAAGCAGGTACTTCGCCTCGAACCAGTAACATGAGGTTTAGTAATAGCGATAAGCTTCCACCTAATGAATGACCGGTGAAACGGAATTTAGCGTTGGTCCCGTGGGTTTTGATATGGGCTTTAACTTCAGGTAGCATTTGTTCATACATTCCTTTTGCAGCTTCATATATTCCTCTGTGTACGATCGCACCAAGTCCCTAATAGATCAAAAACATGTCCTTGTAAGTTCTAACTGACAATTCCTGTTTCCAAAATTGTCGGGATAGTAAAAAAATATACCTCAAATTCAATAGGCTCGAAGAGTAAATTTGCTTGCCAAGAAGCTAGAGATTCAGATCCCTACAAGCAATTTCACATCTCTCATCAACAACACGTAAGAGAATGAAATCTCAACAAATGAACCGGCTTTTGAGCTCTTTTTTTTACCTGAATCACAACAAATCTAGTGTGACTCTGATCATCATCACATATAAACCAATCGCAGGGAGAAGAAATCGTCGATTTCAGATCGTCTGCAACTGCTTGCTTCACATCTTCCTCAGCAGCAACAACAGAAGTAACAGAATAAGCAACATCTGATGATGACTCCGCATTTGCCAAATTTACATCATTTTTGTCAGCTTTCGATGAAGAATTGAAAGGAAGTATGTTGTTGGTACGGGAGTGCAGGTAAGAAGCAGCTGAAGCAACAATCTCATATGCAGCAGAAGCACTAATCTTGCGACCTTTCTTCTTCTCTTCTTCTTCTTCTTCATCTTTAGCTTCTTCTTCTTCCTCAATTGGCTTAGTCTCTCCTGAAACCTCACCATTCCCAGCTTTTAACGCAGATTCTGTTTTCTCAGCTGATGAAGTTACAAATCTCAGGCCGTAATATTTCGAAAGATTCGCAGGCTGCAAGGAAAATGCCACAAATTAACCAAAATCACAATGCAACAAAATCGAAGATCCTGCAAATTTTACACACTGTCTCTTCTAAAGTCTAATCCTTTTTGTGAAAATTAACATCTAGATATCATCATATAAACCCATATTCGTGATTCGATTCAAATAATCTAATGAAGTAAAAAAAATCAAAATCGAACCTTGATTTTTGAAATTGAATAAGCCAAGTTTCCCAAATACGACATTTGGGCATAGAGTTTTGATTCTGGTAACGTAACCCTCCTCAGCAATTTAGAGAACGATTCTCTATCAAGCTGAAATTTGTTTGCTTCGTCACCATCATCTTCCAAAATCGAACATACATCGCATCCACCATCATCTTCAGCTAATACGGCGTCGTCTGATTCAACCTCCTCGTCTTCATCTTCTTCATCATCATCATCATCATCTTCATCTTCATCTTCTTCTTCTCTATCTCTCCACATAGATTGTACATCCAAGATCTTCAAAACCCAGCTCCCATTTCGCCTCTCCGTATCCATTTCCACCGCCGTCTCCTCCGCGATTGGCTTTCTCGAATCGCCAGAATCAACCAAAACGGCGTCGTCTAAACACAACCCACTTCGCCTCCTCGACGCAATTCCTCCTCCACCGCCGCGAGACCAAAACGGCGTCAATGGGTATTTAAATGAGAACCCAAAAGGTCCTCTTTTTTGCGATGGTGCCGTTGCAGTTGCTCGGACTTCAACAACTCCACCGCTTACACCGTTTCCAACCGCAGTGATCGCTGGAATTACACCGTGTAAACCGCTATTAAAACACAAACTGTCCATCGTAATAAAGAAAAAGAAAAAAAAAAACTTTTTCTGCTTTCCTTTTGGGAATGTCTCTTTGGGGTTCTTCTTATTCACAAGTTAAAATTATTAACGATCTTTAAAATTTCTTTAGAATGTGAATTGTACCCACAGAAAGATTTAGAATTGAGAAAATTTAGAAAGAGCAAGAAAATAAAATTGTTTATCAGCCGAACAGATCGCCGAAGAGGAAACCTCTGTGTGAGAGATCTCTTTTATGCTATATTTTCGTTTTTCTATTTTAAATAAATTAGCCAAAAAGAAGACTTTTTTTTTTTCTTTTGCTTTGCGTGATATTGTTTTTTTTTTTGAAGACCTCTTTTACGATATTTCGGACGAGAAATAGTTAAGAAATAAATGATATAAAATGAAAATTTTCTCAGCGAATGTTGGAACGTCGTCGTTTAGACGTACGTGTAATACGTGTGACTTATCTGTTTAACACGTGTTACCCCACATGGGACCCACTGAGAAATGGGTTTGTCGAGTTGGTTCAGAAAATTTGCCGACTTTTTTTTTTTTTTTTTTTTTTTTTTTTTTTTTTTTTAAAATTTGCCGACTTAATAATAATAAGCTAAGGAATTTCGAAATTAATACTGTATTTTATTGAAAGAATTAATGAAATTTATGTAATTCAAATGACAGAAATATCTAATGTTATTTAGTTTTAACAAGTTATTCAAGGGAAACAGTATATAATAGTAATAATATTACGCGTAATCTTAAGATTTATTTACGGAAAATGTTGTTCAGTTTTAATGTATTCTCATTTATGATAGAAAAATGTTTTCAAGTTGTAAATGGAAGTTTCGAATCTCTTTCTTTTATGAATTATGATCTTAAGTTGTATTCAATTGTGCCAAGATGGTTAAAATCTCATGTGGAGATAGATCGATGTATTTAGCAAGTAGTTAATGGAAAGTTGAAGTTGAGCCAAAAAAAAAATAAAAAAAAATGGAAGTTTCGAAGAATGTCCACGTGGGGACGACAAGGGAGAAGACTGCCACGTCAGAGTCGTAGCAAGGTGTAAATGGATATAGGTGGACAAACCATGTGACGTGTTCCAAGATTTTGGGCTCTATCCAATAGACACGTGGCGTAATCGGGATGCTCACGCGCCTTGTCTTTTACTCTTGTGTGCTTGCATGTCTTGTTTGGTTGCTTCTTCGTGAGCTAAAAGCCAATATGAAATCTCCAACTTCTTACACGAAACTAACAGCTATTAACCCTTCCTTCTTCTTTTTCTCCTTCTGATCAACAATGTTATTATCATTTATCATGATACATTTCAAATAAGATATGTGAAAAATATATAGCTTTAACGTACGGAGATATATGTTTTCTGTTAAGAACATAATTACGGTTAATCGTGACTCGAACCAATTTAGCTGTCTCTGTTTTTCTCTTTTTTTTTAAAAAAAAATGGTGAATACTGAATCTTGAGTTATTTGTGGAAGATTTTGAATATTATGGTATTACATGATGGTTGGTTTATGATTAGCTCGTGTTGGATCTGAGACCAAAGTCGTCTCAAAGAAGGAATGAACCAAGAAAAAAGAATGAACAAACATTACGTTGTGGAGTGGACGGAGAGGTCAGCACGTTAAGGTAGCTTTATTCACACGGTAAGGTCGAGATTGATTCTCTGTTATGAAATTTGTTTACATTGTCTTGTTTATTCGTTAATTCTCTGATGTGGAAACACCGGTGCTTCTATATAAGAGATGCAAATAAGTATTATGGTGAGCACCGTATAGACTGATACAAATCATCGGATCACAAACTACCTTCTTTTTTTAGGATTATTGAGCATGAACAAGCTTTGAAAGCGAGAGAATTAGTCTATTAGATTATGGTCTGAGGCTTTATTTGAGCCCACAATGTGAGAATGATATGTCGGTCAAATAGTTATATCCCATAGAGGTAGAGTTAATAATATGAATATGCTCCTTTTTCTGAAGCCCAAAACCTAAGGTGAAAAAAGAAAGTAATCCGTATATTTTATTTATTTATTTGTGGTAGAATCCGTATAAATAAATTTGTAATGTGATTCTTCCAATAAATTTAAACATTCTACAGAAATGAACCGAAATGGATTTTCCAATCTGCTAGAATGTGGCCAAACCAATAAAAGCATATGATAGGCCAGAACTGAGAAAGAGAGCCTATATATTGCTTAAACACAAAGTGCTAAAGGAAATTCTACTAAGACGTACTAAATTGGGCCGGGCAGCTGACCTTGCTCTTCCTCTTAGAATCGTATGTTCCTTTCTCTCCCTTGTCTGATGTAAATGAAGCTTAGTATCGTTGATTCCGAGCTTGATCTCTACATATAAATTTGGCTTCTTGTAGATCTCTCTGAGGCGAGATGGACCGGTTTAACTTGCCTTCAAAACTTCACCAACATAACTTATCCAGGTTACTTATAAGTTGTAAATTTCAATCAAATCTGGCGATTCATTCACATCAATGGACTAACATTGAGATTCCAAAGAGAGAAAACAAATAAATCCGAACCCCAAATCAATAGTCAATACTATAAATGTTATTCCTTGCCCCTTGGAATGTTATTCAATACTATAAATCTAATCGACAAGTCTTTGCACACATGAAAATGAAAGAGGATTACAAATAAAGACAGAAATTTCACTTAAACAAAGATTCTTTTTGACAATTACCGTTTTTATAAGTTATAGCTGATCAAGTAGAAGTGTAGAACTACTAGCATTATCGTGAGAACTTAGTTACATGTCGGTCGGTTGGTTTAGGGATTTCTCGTTTAAATTATGGGCTGGGTTTATTGTAAATGGGCCTATTTGTTAAGCCCAAATACTTCGTATAGAAAAAAGAGTGCTCCGTTAATGGAATGTGCTTCTTCTACTAGAGACTAGAGAGAGAGAGAGATCGATCACTGAAGAAGAAGTCTCCCGTTTCTTCGTTTTCATCATCTTCATCGCCGATTTTGCTACGACCACCTCTGTTACTCCCGTCGATCCATCTCCGGTGAGCTCTCTGCTCTCACTTCCCCTTTCCAATTTTCATTCTTTATCCATTACGAAGAATGTTTGGATAAAGAACCTTATTCGATTTCACTCCGTTGGCTGTTTTACTGTACCGGAATACAACTTTCCGGTATCTCTCTGGTTTTGATCTCGATAGAAATCTAGAATCTAGGCTCGGAATTTTATTTTCTAGTTGAATTAGACTGTTTTTTTTTTGAAATTTTCCTCGAAATTTCCCCCCTAGGGTTGGTTAGTATTCGACTCAATTGGATTATCTCGGTAGAGGGATTTCACTAAATTTTCTGTTGTTTTGCTCTCAAGGATTTGGGTTTTGATTATCAGAAGAAGATGAGTAACACACCAGCAACGGCGGCGTCTAAATCGAAAGCTGCGGGAACTTCTCAGCCACAGGAAAAGCGCAAAACCCTCTTTCAGAAAGAATGTAAATTGATTTTCTTACACTCTTTAGCTGAAACCAGATTAACAAATCTTTTGTTTCTTCTGGTAACAATGTTTTTGCTGCTTTTGTTGATTTTTCCAGTGCAGCATATGATGTATGGATTTGGCGACGAGCAAAACGTAAGCCGCTATCTTAGTTACTCTTTTGTTGCGATATGAGCCATTTTGATATATGTTTAACTTTCTTCCATACAAGTAACCTGAAACTTTGCTTGAAAGTGTTTTTGGTCTTGTAAGAGCTTTGCCTTTTAGTGTTTTGAAACCTGAAACTAATCCAAAACCCCTCTGTGTTTAGCCTCTTCCAGAGACTGTGGCGCTTGTAGAAGACATTGTTGTGGAATACGTCACAGATTTGGTAGTGAGCTTTTTTTTTTTTTTTTTTGAAGGATTCATGTTTTACATTACAAGCAGAGAGAAATAGCTAACAAGTGATGTTTTAATATGTGGCAGACACATAAGGCTCAAGAAATTGGTTCAAAGCGAGGAAGACTTCTAGTTGATGATTTCTTGTATCTTATCCGCAAGGTAAAGTCTTTTTAGACTACACAATCGAAGATTGATTGAGACGGATTATGGTTTTGTATTCCATATATGACACTGTATCGTCTTTGATTTATGCAGGATTTGCCAAAACTGAACCGGTGTAGAGAATTGTTGGCGATGCAAGAAGAGCTGAAACAAGCACGCAAAGCTTTTGATGTCGACGAGAAGGAACTAGTTGATTGACCTTTCTTTATTTTCAAGACTATATAATACAAGTGGAGTTTTTTTAAAAAAAGTTAAAAAGCTTAGCAAAAAAGACAAAGAGCAATGAGAGGAATATCCACAAATTCTAGATCAAAATGAATTAATTAGCAAAAAAAGGTTCCAACAACAAGCCTATGAAATAAATATTGATTGATAGGACAATGGTGGGTTATATATTGATAACAAACAAAAAAGAAATGAATTAACTTGACATGTTTGATACTCATCATACGACTTCGTTGTGTTCCTTGTATTGCAAATAAGAGATTTGTCTCTGCAACTTCATCTGCTCATAGAATTTAGCAATGAACTCCTCTGCTCTCACATCAACACCCTTCTCTCCTTCCACTTCTTGATCATCATTAGCCGAACGATCACATTTCTCATTACAAGAACCATCGTAGTAGCCGTAGGATCTAACATCGTCAGTATCATCTTGACAATCCAATTCGAAGTCGTAGTCAAAGTCAACGGGAGGAGCAATGCAAGGCAAGAGGAACCTCATGGATGCAGGACGATGCATCTTAACGTTAAAGATGGGCGTCTCGTCGAAAGAGAGCTGTTTCTCGCCGTAACGTGAGATATAACGGTCGTTGTCAAGGCTATTATGATGAGCTAGGGCTCTGAGATGCTTGGAAAACAAGTTGCGGAGCTCGAACATGTGCCATCTCTTGAAGATTCCACCTTTTCTTCCCCATAGAAGAGCCATTCGCACAAGACTCCAAGCTCTTTGTGTTGCCATTGATCTGCTTTTCTTCTTTGATTCCCCCATATATGGATTCGTTTTTGTAAATTCTTTTTCGAGATCTGACTTCACTTAATGGTTTTTTTGTTTGCTGCTTTGGTTCTTCAGGTGATTGTGGTGATGAATGAAGTTGTGGACACTTATGTGTGTATATATAATACAAACGCAAGCAGCTTTTTTTTGCAAGTTTGATCGACGCGGAGAGAGAGATTGATGTATAAATTATTCAAGAAAATAAGTTTGTTTAAATTAAGAAAATCAAAACGTTATTTTCATATAAACTGGATTTTACGTGGGCTGTACGCGGCCAAGATCTGAGCTGTTTTAGCCGTTTTGTTTGTTTCTTAAGTTACAAGTTTTCTTTTCTCGTTTTATCAAATTCTTATTATATTTGTTTGATTTACTCTCAAAAGTCAAAACTATAATCGTTTAAACTTTGTATCAAAATTATTGAAGTATTTTTCAAGTTATATGAAAATTAAACTATTTAGCGTTTTCTTTCCACAAACTGTCTCTAAAAACCAAAAACAGAGACATGATTCCACAAAATTACAAACAGTTAATATATGTGTTATATTTTCCAGACCCTGTGGCTTTTCTCTCACAGTATTGTTCTATTTATACCTACATATACATATACACCATGTTAATGTTATAATTATCACCGTCTTCAAAGTAGTACATTTCTTAGTAATCAAAAGATTATAAAGTAGGCGATTAGAACTAAAATTAGGAATCTCATGACAAAACAAAGTTGAATGAATCTTAAAAACTTCAACATACAACGAAAAAAAACAGCTTCCGCCGTTTATGAATGTTTTTATTTCTTTTGTATGTCAATAACTAATGATCTGGTCAAAATACATAATAATTAAGTTCACCCATCATGAATGGACTTGATTAATAATGGTACAAGTATACTTAATAGAGATTTACGTACGTACAATGGAACTTTCGTTGTAATCAAATAATAATTGTAGAGATAATCAAAGACTTGTATAATAAGCTTAAGAGAGAAGGTTTGATTGGTTTAGTAACGCTGCCGTTGAATAATGTCTTGACGGCTGTCGTCTCAATTTATTTGCTTTCCACGCAACCGTGTCCTATCATAGATTTTGGTTATGTGCTTTTCTTTTTGTTTAGTTAAAATCAAAATCATTAACAATTGTGGGGAAAACAAATATACATGGGTATAATTAGGATTTTGAGATTGAGAATTTTAAAGGTTCTTCAATTCGATATATTATAGACCAAATATTGATGGTTGAAAAACAGATTCTAATTATGTACATATTATAAAATAAAATAAAAAAGAATCTGGTTTTATGTAATTCGATAGAATTTTTTTATATATAAAATGAAACCACATATGGTCTATATGTTATGTGTAATGCTTTAGAGAAAATGAACATGTTGGAACGTAGTGCACAACATGGAAGAAGAACCATGTTTGGTGGCGGACAATTCATGCAAGTAACATATATAGATGTACTAAACTTGCCAAATTGAGGAATATCTAAGTAAAAATTGTGATTCTATAAAATTAGACTTGTATCATGGATCCATCTATAGCATGTTATTAATTAGAAATTTAGAACCACACAATTTTTGTTACTTGACTTAAATTAATTAAAAGTGAATTACTAAGCATAATGTTTTAGAAATGTGGCCTTTTAATTTTCTATTTTTATGTAGCTTATGATAAATGCCCTTTTTCTCCTTAAGTAAGCACGGCTCTGCATCCATCTCATCATTTGACGGGAAATCCTTTTGTCATCGATTTGTTTTTCTACTCCCTCCACAGCAGTTCTATGTAAAACAAATTTCGTACGAATACCAAGAGCTTCTAGAGATTGTACGATGACTGGAAAAACCCTAGTCATGTGGTGCATATTTGCGGCAACCGGTCTAACATGGAAATTCATGTAGAATCCAGAATTTCTCAAGAGGTGGTAAATACTATTAAGAAATAACCTCATATCATCAGAGTCTGGCAGTCTGCAAGCTTCAATCCTTCGCTGTCCCACAACATTAGTCCAGAACTCCCCTCAAAACCTCGATATTCTCCATTTCTCAGGTGAAAGCGACGACGACGCAATATTTTGGTTCAAATGGGCTACAATTAGGCCCACTACATTCTCTAAAATACTGATGTAATGCTAGAGAATTTTCATAAGACCCATTACATTTTCTAAAATACTGATGCAATGCTAGAGAATTCTCATAAGGCCCATTACATTCTTTCTCTAAATTCTAATGAGTTTGACTTTGACCTAAATTAGATTAGCTATTAAATTGTATAAGCTAAACATGCAAAAAGTCCATAATGGTACAAATATAATTAAGATACAATGGAACCTTCGTTGTAATCAAATAATAATTGTAGAGATAATCAGAGACGTGTGTGATAAGGTTTGATTGGTTTAGTTACGCTGCCGTTGAATAGTGTCTTATGGCTGTCTCAATTTAATTGTTTTCCACGCAACCGTGATCTACTCCTATCATAGATCTTGTTAGCTACTTTTTCTTTTTATATAGTTAAAATCATTAACGATTGTGGGGGACAAAACGTATTTTTCAGATTGAGAACTTTGTTTCCTTGATTATGTTGCAACATAAATTTATTTCACTAAAGAGTTAAATAAAAAAAAAAATTATTTCACTAAACTTGCCAAATTGAGGAATATCTAAGTAAATATTGCGTTTCTATAAAATTAGACTTGTATCATGGATCCATCTATAGCATGTTATTAATTAGAAATTTAGAACCACACAATTTTTGTTTCTTGAATTAATCAATTACCGCAATAATTATAAAATTAGTCTAGGTTTAGGCTGTCTCTTTCTTTTCTTAATTCTCATCGTCCCGTAACGACGGCAGAAAAAGCGCGCTGTTTTTCTAGTTATGACGGTAATAAAGATACAACTTCCTTCAACCCCTAAACAATTTAATCTCTTATTATTTAACCCCAATATTTCATAAACTATCATTTAACACCCCTTATACACAACAACACATAAATAGAGATCGTTGCACACAGAAATAGTTCCTCTCCGGAATCTTTCTTCAAGAAAACAAAAATCTCTCTCCCTGTTAACCCGGGGAGAAGATTTTTGATTTTCCTTAAACTTTTCTTCATCTTTCTGATATTTTGATTTCATTTTTTCCTATGGAAACAATAAATCAGAATGGTGATAAGTTATTAACAAAAGAAGAGAATGGTGAGCAATTAGAGATAGAGAAAATAAACAAGACGACCATGAAGAAGAAAAAGCCATCACGTGGGATGCACATGTTCTCCGTCGTCATGTTCATGCTCCGTCGTCGCCGGAGGAGAAAGACCTTCAACACCAGGTTTTGGCGACGAGTTGTTGAGTCCGTACGTAAAGTCCGTTCCGAAATTACGATAATGCCATCGTCAAATTTTATCAATACAATTGTTCTCCCTCCGGCTCCTCCTCCTCTTCCAGCGACAGAGATGGGAGGAGACGGTGGTGATAATGATAACGATGATGATGATGATGATGATGATTCCGGAGATCGTTTATCGGAGGCTATGGAGGTTTTCACGGCGGCTTCCTCTTCATCATCATCAGGAATCTCGGGATATGGATCAGCCATGTCCTTACGGGATTTGGATTATCCTTATGATGATGATATTGATGAGGAAGAAGATGAATGTTATAGTGATGTGGAAGGAGGAGATGATATGATTGATGAGAAAGCTGAGGAATTCATCGTGAGGTTCTATGCGCAAATGAAGATGCAAAATCAGGTTTACACTGATCGTTGCAAAGCCAAAGGGATAATGATGAATTAATGATCTTATTAATTATGGTATGTGCATACGTGGGAATATTGGAGATGTCTCGTGGACCAAGGATCAATCTTAATTCAGGTTTTAATTTCTTGGTCAATTTTTTTTTGGTATTAAAATTTAATTTAATTCCTATAAGTTTTTCTTCACTTTTGTTTTTGTAATTTGTGAGTGTATTTCAATTAATTAATGAAAAAATAGGACAATGAAATGTATGTGTGTTTGTGGGGAATATATATATATATATATATATATATATTTTTTGCAGATTAAAAAGTCTCATTAAATATTTTATGTTCAATGTGCTTAATTATCTTATTTCAATCGGAAATTGGTTATATTAATAGCACATTTGACCCATTCATTAATGAATTAATCGAAAATTGAAGAATTTGATTTTCTAACAGTATATATCGATGAACATGGACAAATACGTTAAGTGAAATATCATAGTGAGTTATGGTAACGACTACACATTTTATTCCATTTCGTGAAAAACTCATAGAAACAACGGTGACAAGTGAAGTTGCCATAGCCAAGAACTGGATCCTCGCCGTACGATTAGCCTACCAAGAGGAACCAACGGTGATCATCTCTCTAAACTCCAAGACCAATCCTCAAGATGATGATGCAAAAACCTCGACTCTTCAACTATGCATCAAAACCAAATGCCTCATACTCCAATTACTTCATATGAATCAAAACACCAACCTCGGCGAATGCCTTAGTGATCTATTTCGCGATGAGAGATTTGTTTTTGTAGGAATAGGTATTGCTGAAACGATAGCTAAGCTCGGTGGGCTAGTTAGAGTTGTTAAGAAAGTTGACGTTCGTGATTTGGTAAAGGTCAATTTTCCTTTTAGTTATGGTGAGAGATCAAGGCTTAGCTTGAAGGCTATGGCTTGTGAGTTGTTGGGATTTGGTTCGTGGAAACCGAAGAGGGAGATTTGTCGGAGCGACTTGGCTAATGAAGTTCTTGATGAAGAGGTGATTAAGTTTTTGTCCGTTGATGCTTATGTTTGTCATGAAATTGCATTTAAGATGCTTACACAACAAATTATCTAGAAAAAAAAAACTATGGTCTAATTAAGCATTCTTGTCGTCTATATATATTTGATATCTTCCTTTAACACATGAGATAAGAATTTACTTCTATGATCCACATTTTTTTTTAACAAAATAAAATCCTAATTATTCTTCTTGAGCTAAGGAAACTCGGCTAAGTCGGCTCGGAACATCAGGTTTGACGTTACCGATTCTTACCTTGCGACTTCCAAACCGGCGCCCATTGACTGTACCGGACAATGCCCTATACGCAATAACTCTTCCAAAGTGATATTTCCCATTCACATCATTCGATTTCTCTTCCACCTTTACCTCGTGATGATCATCAGTTTCCTTGTTCCATTCTCCGGTTTTCATTACTGCCTTCGATTATGTACAAAAAAATAGAAGAAGTTTTTTTTTTTTTTTTTTTCATGTACATAAGAAGATTGAGAAGGTAACACCCGCAAATAATTTTATTTATATGTTTATAAAAAGTATAAGAGAAATGGGTGAAGATTTGATTTGATTTACCAAATGAGAAGTAATGTGAAGCTTCGGTTTGAAGACATTAATTTTGATCGGTGAAAAACAACTTTTGGTCATCTCTTTTTTTTTTCGTACACTTCAAGTCTTTCCTTTTACCTTTCGAGTATCTATCTATTTTATTTTTTCTTAATCATGGGATCGATGAACATCATTCTAGAAGAGATACACACACACAATTATCTCTTATCTTGTGCAATGTCAAATAATTAAGTTATATAATTTAAAAGTTGCGAACCAGCGGAATGTGAATATTTTTGGCCATGATTGAGTTATCTACTGTAATCAAATCTTTATGGCTCCACGTAACTCAGAGATCCTACAAATACTTAAAGGACTAACACTAACTTTGGAAGAAAGATGGAGCATTGCTTGACACTGAAACATTCTCAAAATGAAAAATTCTCTTTAACTCGAACAACTTTGCTATTTCAAGTTTCTTTTCAAATGGATTCTCGTTCATTTGTAACTATCATTTCTCACTCTAGTTACTTAACTTGAACGGCAACAAATTTTGACTACGTACATGCGTTTTTTCCTTACATATGATAACACTAAATACGGCAGCATTGGGCCGGTATTGGGCTACTTTATCTAATAAAGCCTCTTAAATTATTAAAGTCAAAAGACACAGGTCAGTGTAATCAGTATTATTACTAAAATCGCGCTATACTTTTTGTAGACGTTGCGATTTCAAATTCAAAAATTGTGGCAATCTCGTGATTAATACTAAAGCCCAAGCCCATTATCGTCTTTTCACCGACAATAAACCGTAGCCTCCTCAAGTCCCCGACGTCACGTTGTATAAATTGTCGCATCACTCCAAAACCCTTATTCTCTCCTACTTCGTCGTCTTCCTCCGAAACCTGAGAAATCAAAAACTCGATCGATCGATCAATTCGTTGTTCGTCTACATCGATTCCTTCAGAATCTACGGATTCTCTGTTTTCTGTTGATTCGATTAAGCTCTACCATGTCTTATAAACCGAGCGCGAAGACTGAGGTTCGTCGGAACAGGTATAAGGTATCTGTGGACGCCGATGAAGGTCGCCGGAGACGGGAGGATAACATGGTGGAGATCCGGAAGAACAAGAGAGAGGAGAACTTGCAGAAGAAGCGGCGTGAAGGTTTTACTCCTTCCATGGCCTCTCAGCTAGGGCAGGATTTCTCCTCGTCTCTTCCTACGGAAAAGAGAGTACGTTCTTCGTGTTCTACTTCTAATTGCTTTTCTTTTTTGTTTCTCTCTCGATTTCAGATTTGAGATTGACTCAGATGATTAAGATTGGGGATTTTGGATTTAGTTTGAGTACTAGTTTAGATTTCTCTCGATGAAATTGAATTTAGATAACCCTAATTTCAGAATCTGCATCGCTTAGTGATAATATTATGCAATTTGAAGGGGTTTTTAAGCTACTTGTTTCAATTGCAGTTGGAGAATATACAACAGATGGTTGCTGGAGTAATGTCAGAGGATAGAAACATACAACTGGAGGCGACGGCTGGCTTCAGGAAATTGCTTTCAATTGGTTTGTGATTTAGGAAATCTCTTAATATGGCGTTTTGTGTTTGGTTCTTTTGTGGGTTTTTAGTTTTTGCTTATTGTGGTTGTTGATTTTTTTGTAGAGCGAAACCCTCCAATCAATGAAGTTGTTCAATCTGGTGTTGTTCCTCGCATTGTGCAATTTCTTTCCAGGGATGACTTCACTCAACTTCAGGTGAGCCTGCGTTTCTTATATCTAAAGTGTAGCTTGGTGCTTTGATTTATATGCTGATTGACTTTTGTTGTTTGCTTCTGCTTGTATTATTATAGTTTGAGGCAGCTTGGGCGCTTACCAATATCGCTTCAGGGACATCTGAGAACACTAAAGTCATTATTGATAGTGGGGCTGTCCCTTTATTCGTCAAACTTCTTAGTTCTGCAAGTGATGAAGTCCGAGAACAGGTATCAATTTTTGTCTATTGTTTTGGCAAAGAAACTGTTAGATCAAATTGTAGATAACTCCATTCGGACTGTTTTAACATCCTGAGTTCTATGTTTCCCTCTGATTACAGGCTGTCTGGGCATTGGGAAACGTTGCTGGTGACTCGCCAAAATGCCGTGATCATGTCCTAAGTTGCGAGGCCATGATGTCTCTTTTGGCTCAATTCAATGAGCATTCAAAGCTCTCCATGCTGAGGAATGCTACATGGACATTATCAAATTTCTGCAGAGGGAAGCCGCAGCCTGCATTTGAACAGGTTTCCTTTCATATATAAACCAATTTGAAGTGTTTAAAATCTTTTTTCTTAACTGTTTATTAATCTGAGAATGTGTCATTGCATTTGTTGAACAGACACAAGCAGCTTTACCAGCTCTTGAGCGCCTTCTGCATTCAACCGACGAAGAAGTTCTCACAGATGCATCCTGGGCTCTCTCATATCTATCTGATGGTACAAACGAGAAAATACAAACTGTTATCGACGCTGGTGTCATACCTCGTCTTGTTCAGCTCTTAGCGTAAGTATTTTTCTTTTAGCAACCAATTCCATATTCATACACATATATCTTAATCTAATCTCGTCATCTGTGTCTTCTTAGTCATCCATCACCCTCAGTTCTGGTTCCAGCTCTCCGTACCATTGGTAATATTGTAACCGGAGATGATCTTCAGACTCAGGTACCAATACTATCCCCAACTGTCTCCTATAGGTTTAATGTTTACTTAGTAAATCATCTCTGTTTTCTCCATAACAGGAGATTATTAGCAGTCAAGCGCTTCCTGGTTTGTTAAACCTTTTGAAAAACACATACAAGAAGAGTATCAAGAAGGAAGCTTGCTGGACGATCTCTAACATTACAGCTGGGAACTCAAGTCAAATTCAAGTGAGTTATACACATCAACAAATGACGATGTCGAAAACGCGGATTTTATTTTATGAAACCAGAAGTCGTATTTTCATTTGCTGTGCAGGAAGTGATTCAAGCAGGCATTATTCAGCCTCTGGTTATCCTGCTTCAGAACGGTGAATTCGAAATTAAAAAAGAAGCTGTTTGGGCAATTTCTAATGCAACTTCTGGTGGCAATCATAACCAAATCAAGTAAGAAAAAAGCACACAGTAAATCTCATTTTTTCTTGTGTCTTTTTAGATGAAGCGATTCTTGTTATTGAAACTCTAATTTCCTTGCAGGTTTCTCGTGAGCCAAGGCTGCATCAAACCCCTGTGTGATCTCCTCTCGTGTCCTGATCCAAGGATCGTCACAGTGACTTTGGAAGGTCTAGAGAACATTCTCAAAGTAGGTGAAGCTGAGCAGAATCTAGGCAACACAGGAAACGTTAATCTCTATGCGCAGATGATTGAAGAAGTAGAAGGGGTGGAGAAGATAGAGAATCTTCAGAGTCACGATAATAATGAGATTTACGAGAAAGCTGTCAAAATCCTTGAGTCGTACTGGGCTGAAGAAGAAGAGGAGGATGCTCCTGAGACTTTTCAGGCTTCCGGTTTCCAATTCGGAAACCAAAGTGGTAATGCTCCTCCTACTGGTGGATTCAACTTTGGTTGAAGGTTTATGTAGAATCAAAGATATTCTAAGTTGCTTGAACTTAAGAACAGAGGTCTCTCGTGGTCGTTTCTATAATTTGTAGGTTTTTTCTTGGGTCACGTTTAGATTGAATTTGTATTTTTCTATTTTTAGAAGTTTGGGTTTTTTTTTTTTGTTTGCATTTATGGCGGAGATTTAAGTGTTTTAATCTGCTCTACTGTGTGTTTTTGCTCTTCTGCAAAAAATCATGAAGAGAGAAATGATTAAAAACAAAAAAAAAAAAGAGAGAGAAGACTTTTAAACTACCAAATTTATGCAGAATCAACATCTAATTCTCTTATTTACACAAAATTCAGTTTTATGGATAGCTTCGAGTTTTTTTTTTTGTCTCAAAAGTTTTATTATATTCTACAGCAAATATTACATGAGCCGGCAGGACTAAAACCTCCGGAAGTAAAGCCAAAAAAACGAGAATATCCCGGAAAAGCATACGTTGATACTAGAAACTAAACCAACGTACGAAAGCAAAGCCCAAACATTTAAGCCCGAAAGTAAGTAACCACACTTCACCCACATAATTTTCTAATTTCTGGAAAGCCTAAACTAAACTGCAAGTCGGAAAAACAATTAACGACAAGCAAATTCTTCTATAGCGAATAAAAACTACCTCACAACCTATGCGCTCTTGGGCTTCTAATCCAGCAAGATGGATTCAAGACAAAAATATTTAGATCCTTACACTTCTCCCGAAAACGACGATGTCGAAAGAACCACGACTTTTAAACGTCTCGATAGAAATTTAAATCTATAATAATAGCCAGTATTAATACAAAATAAGTAAGAAAAATAGACAGTCTTCCACCTCGCAAATTAAGTTAACAAATATTTAGTTGAATGTCATATAGTTAGGTAAAGCGTTGTAATGCAATTTTAATAGACGACAATTAAATTTTGCATATATTAATGCGTGACAAATGATAAAATAGACTGTCATTTTGTTTTTGACGGCAAAATTTATATAGTTAGTAGACAAAGAGTTGTTTTACAATTTTAGTAGGTCACAGATTCACGTTTCACGTAATTGTGTATAGCTTTTAATAATTTGAGGTTCTTATGAGTTTTTACTTTTTTACCAATAGCGTAATGCAAATTTTGCATATTTTTCTTTCTGGGCTAAGATTTGACAAATAAAAGAAAATAAAAAATTAAGATTGACAAATCTGGAGAAACACCGAGCAGCTTCTAAGTTTTTCTAGTCATTCTAAATTAGCCACGTCATTAACAGCAAGGCATGCCATGGCCACGTGTCAACACGAGTCTCACACTTTGATAACAAAAGGACTAATTATAAAAAATCGCTACTACAAAGTTTTTTTAATCAGCGAAAAAACGCAGCAAAAACAATTGTGAAGAAAGATAGATGATGATGATGCAATCCCGATTATTAGCGTTTGCTTCTGCGGCGCGTTCCCGTGTTCGACCAATCGCTCAAAGGCGTTTAGCGTTTGGATCATCCACGTCTGGCCGCACCGCTGATCCAGAGATCCATTCCGGTAACGATGGAGCTGATCCAGCTATTTATCCGAGAGACCCTGAAGTATAATTTTTTCTATTTCTCAGCTTTTCATTAATGAAAGTTTTTTGGATTCAGTATTTTCATATATTGAAAATTCAAACAAAAATGTGTTATTCGATCATTAATTTTAATACTCTTTGAATCAAGTTTGTAGTTATCCAATTTATAATTTTGAAATTCAGACCATGCTAAAAATTAATTAATTAGGATGTGAGAGTGTTTTAAAATTTAAAATAAACAAATAAAAAATCTCTGTTAAGTGTGATTCCTTGTGTTTCAGGTTATGGATGATGTTGCAAACCCTAAAACGGCGGCGGATGAAATCGTAGACGACACCCCACGACCGAGTTTAGAAGAGCAACCGCTTGTACCGCCTAAATCTCCACGCGCCACCGCACATAAGCTAGAGAGTACTCCTGTTGGTCACCCGTCAGAACCTCATTTCCAACAGAAACGAAAAAACTCCACCGCCTCTCCGTCTCCGCCGTCGCTTGATTCTGTGAGCTGTGCTGGTCTAGACGGCTCACCGTGGCCAAGAGACGAAGGAGAAGCGGAGGAGCAGAGGCGGAGAGAAGGTGAAACAGAGAGCGACCAAGAGTTTTACAAACACCACAAAGCTTCTCCGTTATCGGAGATTGAATTCGCCGATACTCGGAAACCTATTACGCAAGCTACTGATGGAACGGCGTACGCAGCCGGGAAAGATGTGATCGGATGGTTGCCTGAGCAGCTAGACACGGCGGAAGAATCTTTGATGAAAGCAACGATGATATTCAAACGCAACGCAGAACGTGGCGATCCTGAAACGTTTCCTCATTCTAGAATCTTAAGGGAAATGAGAGGCGAGTGGTTTTAAACTAAAGACTACAATAAAATGTTGAAAAAGTGTCTGAATAAACTTTTGTCAATTAGCTTCATTAAGACATTTTGGTTCCTTACCAAAGTGTACAAAGCCTCTTTATATCTTCCAAATCTCTAGAAACCCTAAAATCAAGAGAATTTGTTCGAACATTATGGATTACAGTTATGATATGGTCCAAAAAAGGGTTTTGTTCTTCAATCCAAAGCTGTAAAATTAAAATGGTATCAGATTCCAAAGTTATTGCTTTTGAAGGTTCTTAACAAAAAGTCAAGTTCTTTAAAAAGCCATAGACTTTCTTCTTCATTCTTCCACCATTTGATAAATGGCAAGAATTTCTCTCTTCCTCTTGGAAATGGAGTTGTTTCTCTGTTTCGTCGTTCTGTTTTTAATATCACAATCTGTTGTTGCATTGAGCATAACAGAGAAACAAGAGATTGAATGTGCAATGTGTTTAGAATGTGAGAATCCATGTGATCAGCCACCTCCTCCGTCACCTTCACCTCCACCGCCTCCGCCACCACTAGAAATTCTATGTCCTCCACCGCTACCACCGCCTCCACCCCCGCTAGAGATTTTCTGTCCGCCACCGCCTTCTCCACCTCCTCCTTCTCCACCACCTCCTCCTCCTTCACCACCACCACCGTGTAATCACTGCCCGTTACCGCTTCCACCGCCGATGCCGCCGGTTTGCAATGAATGCGTTCCGAATAAGCCGAGACCACCGATCATTATCACAGCCGCAGAAGCGTCCCCGGGGGTATCTGCTTCCATCAGTTTAATTGTTTCTCTCGCCTTCCTAGTTTCCTCTCTGTTTCAATAATGTTGTAGCGATCTTCAGCTATATGTTGTCTCTCTCCGTTATTATTCTTACATTCATAAAGATATTCGATTTCTCGTTCTAGGAAATTATATTTTACTCTCATCATGTAACCCATTGATCTCTCCTTCATTAGCAAGGTCTTTAGTATTTATCATAACGATATAAACCACAAGTGAGATTATAAACTAAACCTTTTAGTGTTTTTTTTTTTTTTTTCAGTTTTGCTTTATCTACGAATTTTCTCAATAAGTATATGGAGCAAGTCGGATACTCAAGTAGCTATAGTTGTGCCATTACTTTGATTTTAGTGTCTTAATCGTATTTTAAGCGCTCGTTACTTTGATTTGACAAATTCTAACAAAAAACGCAAATATACATGAAAATCGAAATTTAATTGCTAGTTACTTTGATTTGACAAACCATATAAAAAAACGATGAAGACAGTTGTGACAAACCATATTATTTATGAACTTCTTGAAACCAATGTCGACCATCTGAAAATGTAAATCATGTTAAATATGCTTCATCTAAGTTTTACTAATTACTGTAAGTAACATGAAAAATCGCAAGTGTTAGGAAATTAAGATCCAAAAGTCAGATTTTTAACTACTAATAATATTTCTAACGGTGAAGTTATACATTTTTTATATATAAAAAAAAAAGTAAATGGGTACGGAAAGATTCTTATATTGATTTTCAATTAATTATATTGGATTTGAGATAGACACATGACAGATGATTAATGACGGTTATTTACCGCTGGAAAGTAATCGATAAACCGATGAAAGTAAAAGAAGAATGTGACAGAAAAGCTTCTCTAGTTCTCTTCATCGTTTCGTTCATATGGTACGTGTTAGATTCTTGAAGCAGAGCAATATGTAAAATTAAGATTCGGTTTGGTCAAGTGTGTCATTGTGCAGTCTTCATCGTTCATTTCCAAGGCAAGAATCGTCATTGACTCATTATCGTTCACTTTAATAATAGTGCAATAGTATTATGAATTAACAAATCTTTATTTTGTAACGTTAACTTTGAATAAAACTGTTAAGCTCTTTTTTAATAGAGGCTCTCCGACCCCCAAAAAAGTAGTATTATTATATTTAATCAGCAAAAAGAAGATATGTTTAATACTAGTATTATATAGGTATCATGTTGGTTAGGTTGGGTCGACGTTTCGGTGAAGCTTCTATATATATTTTGTATTATTTCATCTTCCATTTTGTTCATGTGTGTTGTTATATACTCACTAACCTAAAGTTTAAACTTAAACATGCTCCATGCTCCATGAAAAGAAATCGAAACATCGTTATCTTTTAAGAACTCGAATGCATACTTTAAAAAATTCGAATGCAAATTACACATTGTACAAAATCTAATGTAAAAACTGGTAAGTAACAGAAAAAGAAAGTACAGATCTTGAAATAGAATCATCACCAGCCTCAAAGAGGACAGTGACATTTGCTCTTCACAATATTAATTTTCATCTTTACTTTCACGTATCCACTTGCTTAAATAATCCACATTTATCATCAAAAATATTTAAAATAAATAATTACCAACCACTATAAATACAAATATTACACTCCCATTTGCAGTGAAATTAAATAAAAAACATTAATAACTATTTCTCTCTTCTTCTTCCTCTTTAAACTAGAGCACTCAAGTAACGAGTAAAACGCAGAGGAGAAGAAAAGAGAGAAGGCGCAGAGTAGCATTGACATGCGAAATGTGCCTCTCAGGGTTCTTATCCTACGCCTGTTTCAATCTCTTCCCCACCATGAAAGTTTTCTGATTGCTGTTTCCTCTGAAATTCGAAGCTTCGTAGTTTCTTCTGCATTCTCGCAATGCATTGGATTACGAGATTCTCCGCCATCTTCTCCGCCGCATTAGCCATGATTCTCCTTTCTCCTTCACTCCAATCCTTTTCTCCGGCGGCAGCTATCCGATCATCTCACCCCTACGCCGACGAATTCAAACCACAACAAAACTCCGATCACTCCTCCTTCAGAGAATCTCCATTGTTCCGTAACGCCGAACAATGCAGATCTTCCGGCGAAGATTCCGGCGTCTGTAACCCTAATCTCGTCCACGTAGCCATCACTCTCGACATCGATTACCTTCGTGGCTCAATCGCAGCCGTCAATTCAATCCTCCAACACTCAATGTGTCCTCAAAGCGTCTTCTTCCACTTCCTCGTCTCCTCCGAGATTCAAAACCTAGAATCTCTGATTCGCTCAACTTTCCCCAAATTGACGAATCTCAAAATTTACTATTTTGCCCCTGAGACCGTACAATCTTTGATTTCTTCTTCCGTGAGACAAGCCCTAGAGCAACCGTTGAATTACGCCAGAAATTACTTGGCGGATCTGCTCGAGCCTTGTGTTAAGCGAGTCATCTACTTGGATTCGGATCTCGTCGTCGTTGATGATATCGTCAAGCTTTGGAAAACGGGTTTAGGCCAGAGAACAATCGGAGCTCCGGAGTATTGTCACGCGAATTTCACGAAATACTTCACCGGAGGTTTTTGGTCAGATAAGAGGTTTAACGGGACGTTCAAAGGGAGAAACCCTTGTTACTTCAATACTGGTGTAATGGTGATTGATTTGAAGAAGTGGAGACGATTTAGGTACACGAAACGAATTGAGAAATGGATGGAGATTCAGAAGATGGAGAGGATTTATGAGCTGGGTTCTCTTCCTCCGTTTCTTCTGGTATTTGCTGGTCATGTAGCTCCGATTTCGCATCGGTGGAATCAACATGGACTTGGTGGTGATAATGTTAGAGGTAGTTGCCGTGATTTGCATTCTGGTCCTGTGAGTTTGCTTCATTGGTCAGGTAGTGGTAAGCCATGGTTAAGGCTTGATTCCAAGCTTCCATGTCCTTTAGACACATTGTGGGCACCTTATGATTTGTATAAACACTCCCATTGACACTGGTTTCTCAGTTCGACATATTCATCGGTAAACTCTCTATACAAAACTCTGTTCAATTGCAATGCCATTTTGCTTATTGTCTGCGATTGTACATCAATAGTTGAACTATAAGTTAGGAATCTTCATTCTTTTACTCTTTTAAGCATATGTGAAGTTTTTACCATTTCTGGGTATGGGTATATGGCTTTTATTTTGGCACTCATAACATTACATAAACAAAAAAGATAGAAGCTTTATGATTTGCTTTATAGTTAATACTCCATTGTTGGCCAATTGGTGGAGATTGTAATAGTGGGGGAATTGGGTTAGTGGTAGGGCACATTTCTTGCTTCTTCTTACTGGACCTGATGCATTGCGGAACACCATGAGCACACTGATCCAGTGATTGTTTCACCCTTTTTTTTTAGTTTCTTAGTGCTTCTAGCTTATAAAGGCAAAAGAGTTTCATAGATAATCACATATGAGTGGGATTGAGTAATAACTTTAGGATCTCGAATCTTTACCTAGTTTCTGCATTGAACAAGCTATGCATAAGACATTTGTTGATGATTTTTTTTTTTTTTTCAAAGAATCTGATGATTACCATCTAAAACTTACCAGTCACTTTCTGAAAGTTTATTTTTTTGCGGGATCAAATTGATCAAATTGCTTTTTTGAAGTTATGGACTTTCGTTTTTGCATATATGGATTCATAATTGCATTGTACAGAATCACAATCTCATCTTAAGTTGGGTTTTGTTTGTTTTAACCAGCCATGAGGACTAAACCGAAGATTAGCGGAGTCATTGGTCCAGACCGAATGGTTCAACTAGAAACAATTCTGAAGAAGATGAGAAAACCTTGCCGGAAGAGTACTATAGTAGTGTTGCTTCAGACATATTGGAGAGACGGTTTCGAAGAGAGAAAGTGTTGTATAGGCGGTTGAATATGTTCTTGTGGGGAGAAAAAATAAAAATATAGTTAGGTTAAAGAGTTTTTGTTGTTTACTATTGATTCTGAAAGTAATTTTGTGCAAATTACTAGTCTTACTTTGGTTTTCAAGTTTAAAAAGATGATTTGCCTCTCTGTCTCGAGCCTGCTTAACAGAACCTTATATATGGAAAGATGTTGCCTTTTTATATTCGAAATGTCAAGTGTCTGATGTCTTCTTACTCTGTTTCCGACTAACCAAACAGCATACATGTGTGATTACATGAACATAGATCAAGAGAAGACGAGAACCAAACACAAACACTCTAAACAAGATGTGCTCTTCAAAACAGGGGCTATACCACGAAATAAACACAATCTCGTATAAGACCAAGCAATGGCAATCCTTACACTGCATTTTTGTAATCACCAAAACTCTGTTCCTATTTGCTTATTCTCTGTGGTTTGTGCATTGTACTAGACCATCCCCGGTAGCAATCCCACTATTAATGGCTCTTTCTTGTAGATACAAGACTTGCCAACTTCATACTAACATCAAAGAAGACAGTGTTGTGGTTTGCATAACGATCATTTGGGTCCAATACCTTCAAACCTCTGAGGGAACTCAACATAGAAGATTCTTCAAGATTGAGGATGAATGGCTCCATAAACAGGTTCTGCATTAGGAGGAACATAGTTCCAGAGATAGACTATCTCAAATAGTAGAGGCTTCAAAGAAGGCAAAACTTGCTTCTTCTTCTTGTTCTCGAATATAAGCACCAAGGAGTTAATTGCAGGTCCAAAGATGGAAATCGGGTATTGATCCTGTTGGAGCCCAATATTGTAAAAAGGAAATAATCTAAAGTTTACAAAAAAAAAGGAAATAACAAAACTCATCGAAAAAAGGAAACAATCGAAAGTTTCCTTTTTTTGGAAGAAGCTAATGCTTATAAATAAACGCCTGAGAGAATGCTAACCTCCAACATCACTCATTCTCTCTTCTTCCTTGAGATATCAAAATTCACTATTCCTCTCTTCTCTTCTTCTTCTTCTTCTTCGGAACCATAACAAAAGAATCCTTCCATCTCTCATTATCTCTTCTCCGTAAGATTGATCTCCATCCTCTGTTGTGACTCATATTCACTCAATCCAAACGATTTCAAATCCGGCCAACGACGGGCCACCGTTTCACCGACGGCTAAGGAGAGCACCAAGACGGCCAAGGATGGAACAGCGGGAAAGAGGACAACGATGAAAGAGACAAAGAGAGAATGTGTTTCCATGGCTGGGATCATGAAAGCGTCTCCTCAGGCTCAGGATGATCGATCGATTAGTCTCTGTTTCGTCGAACAAGGTTACCTCTTAATTTAACACTTTTTATTTTTCAATGTTTTTTTTTTAACACTTCTTTTTTTTTTAATATTTTTTTCTTTTTTTGAATAAGTGTTAAATTTTTAATTTTGTATAAATTAATTGGATACAACATCCAAACCCCTAAGAGGTGTTCTAGGTTCAATAATGATTTACACATAATTAAAATTTTAACACTTATTTTTTTTGTTTTAAAAGTTTTTTTTTTTTGATAAGTGTTAAATTTTTTAATTTTGTGTAAACTAATTGGATACAACATCCAAACCCCTAAGAGGTGTTCTAGGTTCAATAATGGTTTACACATAATTAAAATTGTAACACTTGTTTTTTTTTAAATGTTGTTTTTATTTATTTTATAAGTGTTAAATTTTTTAATTTTGTGTAAACTAATTGGATACAACATCCAAACCCCTAAGAGGTGTTCTAGGTTCAATAATGCTTTACACATAACTAAAACTTTAACACTTGTTTTTTGTTTTAAAAGTTTTTTTTTTTGATAAGTGTTAAATTTTTTAATTTTGTGTAAATTAATTGGATACAACATCCAAACCCCTAAGAGGTGTTCTAGGTTCAATAATGGTTTACACATAATTAAAATTGTAACACTTGTTTTTTTTTAAAATGTTGTTTTTATTTATTTTATAAGTGTTAAATTTTTAAATTTTGTGTAAACTAATTGGATACAACATCCAAACCCCTAAGAGGTGTTCTAGGTTCATTATGGTTTACACATAATTAAATTTTTAACACTTGCTTTTTTTTAAATGTAATGTTTTTTTTATAAGTGTTAAATTTTGTAATTTTGTGTAAACTAATTGTTTTAGTTATACAAAATAATTTGTTTTTTTTTAATGTAAGTGTTAATGCGTGGATAACAAACCAAACATTACATCCATTATTTAAGATTGGTCTACTAGATGTTATAAGTTCAATATGTTTTTAGTTAATGTAAATTTAACGATTAAACTAAATTTTAAAGATGTTTTTGTAAATAATGTTTTAAATATACAACTTTGTTTTTTTCATTTAGATACTTCATTTTCATATCAAGCTGTGAAAACATAGAGAAATGTGGTCCATGTTATTGTTATTTTGGTTGAGTCGAAACTATCTTTTACGTTAAAAAACAAACTTGTAAAACTCAACCTCTGGTAATTCGAATCCTATGGTTTCAATTTTAAATTCGAATGTATATATTTTGTAAGTGACTGTAATAAGGATTCGAATCTTTACCTGTTTCTGCATTGACACTTCTTGGTCACTTTTTCTGTTTCGAAGAATCTGATGATTAGTAATGGCTTTGAAACAAATGTGAAAAAAGATGCAACTTACCAGTCACTTTGTAAGAGTTTTGGACCTTTTCTTACATATTTGAAAAAGATGCAACTTACCAGACTCACAATCTCATCTAAGTTTGGTTTCATTGGTCCAGACTTAAAATCATTAACAAAGTAAGAAATTGAGACTTTACTTTGAAAAATCGTAATTATAATATCTGATTACAAACATGAAGCCTAGAAAGAAGAATTTTCATGCCTTGTACCACAAACAAAGAAAATCAAGGGAACTGAAACTGCATATAGTCCTGTTTCCCTGAAGGAGGGTTAATATAAACCCAAAGCAAAGACACAATAATCGACAACAAACCTGACCACACAAACACTATCGTCGGAACTCTGCCTCTTCTTCCCATCAATCCTTTAGCAAACGGATACAGATGACAAAGCACCCAAAAGCTGAAGAACACTCCTCCAACAAGCTTACTCCATTGCGGAAATGGACTGTACAGAGTCCTCGCAAGCCCCACCGCAATCGCAATCATATTCACCATCATGATCGTCAATGGAGGAACCATCAAAAAGCTCCATTTCACAGCATACAGATCAGCAAACTCATCCTCTCCTTCTTCTGGTGTAGATGACTTGGAAGTCAAGGTAAACGAGATATCGACTCCTGCAATTACCTTGAGAAGACCTTGAAGAACAGCTGCAGGGTGTGCGCTTGTACCTCCAATTACCCAGAACTGCTCATTTCTCCACCATTCATGGAGAGTTATGCCTGACCATTTGATCTCAAGGAGTGATAACATACAGAGCGTGAGTGTTATCGAGAGGAGATAGATCAAGAACGTTATATTCAGTGATTGGACTATGAATTGACCCGAGAAGAGCGAAACCGCAGGGAGAATGCAGTAGACGATGAGGAAAAGCGATGTGAATGGATACATTCCAACATTGAAGTAAGCCACTCTCTGCAAAAACTTCATCCTTCTGGTTGCGAAGATCGCATTGTTCCTAGAGAAAAAGATCTCAACAGATCCTGTTGCCCATCTCAGAACCTGGTGAAGCCTATCCGTTAGATTGATTGGAGCTGTTCCACGGAAAGCATCTCGCTTCGTCACGCAGTAGATTGATCTCCATCCTCTGTTGTGCATTCGATATCCCGTGACTACATCTTCGGTCACTGAACCATAGATCCATCCAACTCTTTTACCCCACTCAGTTTTGTCCTCATAGAAGCAAGATATCACACTGATTGCTTCAGCTACAGTGGCTGCATCAAGTGGTTCACGTGGGACAGCAAGTGACCCAGCTGGCCTACTGTTCTTGCCTTTGCCTTGCAAGTCTTGTAAGAGTCTCCCTTGGTATTCAGCAACCGGGATTGAAGCAACGAAAGAGTTTGAGTTACCAAATCTCTTTGGGAGAAGCAGAGATTCAATATCTCCATCATCATTCTCTTCTTCGTTGTATTCTCCATTTATAGGCAAAGAAACTTCATCGTCTTTCTTCATCACGGCTTTTGATTTCCTCAGCGATATCTTGACCTTTCTTCTTCCAAGCCAGCCATGATGTTCAGTTGCTCTCGGCGGACTAAACCCGTAGAGAGCTGTTCTTCGGAAGATACAGCCAGTTCCCACATACATTGGACCTTGAAGTCCATCCAAAGCTCTCATACTAACATCAAAGAAGACAGTGTTGTGGTTTGCATAACGATCATTTGGGTCAATACCTTCAAACCTCTGAGGGAACTGAACATAGCAGATTCTATCGCCACCACGATCAAGCATGAAGCACATTCCTTCTCTCAAAGCCATAGAGTTGTAGATGTAGTGGTCACAATCAAGATTGAGGATGAATGGGCCATTAGACATTATTGCGCTGGTTCTAACCAAAGCATTCATGGCTCCTGCTTTCTTGTTGTGATCATAACCCGGCCGCTTCTCTCTGGACACATAAACTAGCATTGGTAGCCTGATGTCAACGTCTGTTGTATCAATTAAGTTCTCAGCATCTGCTTCTGCTCCATAAACTGGTTCTGCATTTGGAGGAGCCAACATTGCCTGCAGCAATACACAAAATATTAGAACTCTCTTTTCAATACAAACCTGAAACCAGTTAAACAATTAGCAAACAATATTGACAAAAGAAGTTACCTGAATGATTCCAGCATGATCTCCTCGAGAGTTATCGGATTCTCCAGAGGACCAAGTCCCTGGCCAGTGAGAACCATCTGACATCCAAGTGGCCTTTGGAACTTTAACAGTTTCTTGAGGATTGTTTCCCATCATCATTTCCATCTGTTTCTTCTTAGCCCTTAGCTCTTCGTGCACGTTATAAGCATCAGACCTTCTCCTTATCGCCTCAGGCAATGAGTTGATTCTGACCTTAAACTCATCATACTCTCTCTTCACTCTCCTCCTTTCCCTCACAAAATCCAGCCTCACTTTGTTCTTGAGAAAGTTACGCTTCTGTCCAAAGTAGGCCTCAGGGTTCCTTGGCTCTATATTGTGTTTCCTGCAAAATGGCACCCATGTACTTGCAAAGCTGGCTGTTTGAGCCAAGGCTTCGAATGTTAGCAAAGCTCCTCCATCGTCTGATAAGTAGCAAGCAAGTTTCTCCACAGGGTAATCAACAGCTAGGATCGAAAGAATGGTGTTGGCTGTGACCAGAGGCGGTTCTTTCTCAGGGTCTGCAGTTGAGACAAACACATCGATACCCGGAAGATCAGATCTTCCTTTGGGGTTCCTGAGGTTAGGAGATTCAAAGCGTTCTTTAAGAACACCTAAATCACTTAATCTGTTAACCGGACAGAGTTTTGGAAGCTGATCCAAAAGCCAAGACAAGGCAAACCAAAGTTCACAGGTCGTTGACATTCCCCACAACCACATTGCTTCTCGGTTTGGGTGGCGAACCCTCCATGTCAGGAACAGACCAAGAGCCACCAAACGCAGTGCAATGAGTAATCTGTTTCGTCACACACAAGAAAAATCAAAACTTCAGCAAAAACCAAAGCCAACAGTAATCGATTGCATCATCATAACTAAGCAAACATTTAAGAAAAACATACTTAATCAAGAAACAGCTAAAGATAAAGCAAGTTCTTTTACCTGTAAGGACTGATAATTGCAGCAGAGACACTGACTTTCCTAGTAAGAGGTCTCTTGCTTCTTTCCCCAAACTCCGGTGGCGTTTCATACCCGTTACCACCACCACCCGACCCGATTCCATACCCATCTTTAGGCCAAACAGCGTTCCCATACCCATAAGTACCTTTAGTCTCAAACAACCACCGAGTGTGATCAAAGTCACCAGCTTGATTCTGCGCTTTAAACGACTTCACAACCGAAAGCCTCTTGTCAAGCTTTGATTCACCCATCTGAGGAAGCGGTTTCGCCTCATCTTCTTCGTCTTCTTCCTCAGTCTCAGGATCATCGTTGACATCCCTGTAAGGCTCTTTGCAACCAGGACAATTGCCTCCACCACTTGTGATACAATCAAAGTAACAATCTCTACAGATTTTGAAACCACACTCACATCTCCCATGAACAACTTTCTCATCACAACCTTTTAACCAACAGATCTGACCTGATTTCTTCTCCGGATCAGCTCGATCCATAGAGCAATCAATTACATGACCACGAGTCACCGATTTAAACCCACCGGTGAAAATCGTCCCGGAGAGGAAACTTTTGTTATTCGAGTTCCCTTTTAGCATCTCATCTTCTTCACCCATACCACTCTCTTGTGAAGCGAACACCGTCTGATGATCCGGCGTAGGTGGAATATGAACAGTATAGCTCAGAACGCACTCGGAATTAGTGGTCTCCGCCGTTAGATCTTCCACAGACATAGAACAGTATCTTCCTTCACCACCACTAGATCTCCGATTTCCACCGCTAATCGAAGTACGACGTGTAGCTCTTGAGCTTAGAGGAGAGTTTTGGTTATTGTTGATGACGGAGGCGCGTGGGATAGGACTCGTCAATCCTAAGCTTCTGTCGCCGGATCCTTTACATGGTGTCACCGTTATAGTCACCGGAGAAGAAGAACAAGCTGCTGATTTCACCATTCTCGGTTCACAATTAGCAGTGAACCACAAAAATCACGAGAGAAAAAAATCAAAGAGTAGATCTCAAACTGAAATCAGAAACTAAGAAGAAGAGATTTTGAATCTAAGGAAGAAGAAGCTGAAGAAGCTAGTACAAAGCAGAAGAGCATTATGATTTTCAAAATTTAGAGAGAGAGAGAGAGATATAAAGGAGAAAGGTGTTGCTATAAACGGTCGAGAGATCTGAGCCGTTCATTTTCTTCACGTTGCTTCATGTGAGATCGGACGGTGGTTATCTAATCCAAACGGTAAGTTTGAAAGATTACGTGGGACCAAGCGATCTAATAAAGACGCAAAGTCAAATAAACGGAAAAAAATAAAAGAAAAAGAGTTTATCTCTCTCAACTTTCCGTAACGGTCAAATAAATTTATATTGGAGGAGCTGATTAAAAATAGTAATATGCTTTTTATCATCCCATGTGATTTGATTATTTTGAACTCATTGGTAACTGATACAAATATTATTTGCTCATCATCCCATGGGGTTTGATGATTTTGAACTCATTGGTATATAATTTTGATTACTATTATTATTTTATGATATACTACTCGAGTAGACCATTATTCCTTGTCATAAAATGGTAATTATATGCTTAAATTCAAGAGATTTGAATTCATACTATAGAATGTTTTTTTCTGTATATTCAAAAAATCAACTCTGTAACAAATTTGAAAATCAAGACAAGTTACTATGTTCATAAATAAATGGAAACGATAATTGAAAAGGAGAAGAGATAATTAAAAATGACTAATGTTTTTTTTAATTAGTTTTTTAAAACGCCGAGACAAACACGATAACGACGTTTAAGTGCTTTGAAAATCGAGACCGAACCTATATAATAGTTCTTAGGTCTCGTTACATACGATACAATAATACTACAAACAGAAGATTCGCTGCACATACTTACACGTCATTCGGCACACAACACAACACCCTAATCTTCTTTCTTCTCCATTTCTTCCACTGCTTTGTATGCCGATACAAAAAACACACTCTGATTCTTCCTCAAGAACCTGCGTTATCATCTGGTTTTTGTTATTTGTCTTTAAATACTTGTAAAAAATGTTAAGCATTAAGTAGGAGACAAGAAGAAGGAACCTAAGAATATCAACAAAGTTGTCCTGCAATTCCTTCAATGTCTCTTCTGCCATATTCACATGTGCTAGCAACTCCGGCAATTTCACTGCAAAACTCAATATTTAGGCTTTCATAACGGTGGACTTGGTGTGTGTTTCTATAGGTTTGATAAGAACTAGCAAATCATTCAGGATATAAAATGGTGTTTATACATTAAAAGAAGGGCTTACCAAAGAGTCGTAACAAATGCTCTGCTCCGTACACAGTTGAGGGAGAAACATCCGCTGATACAGATTCCTCGTATTGCTTCCGTTCATTGTTGTAAAGCAACATCACCGGTAAAGCTTTGTCAAAGTAGCAACGCAAACCTTTGAGAATTTCCTCTAATGAATCAGTTACCCTATATAGACTCGCAAAAGAAAGTAATAGATATATATCAGAAGCTTGGAATACTCTTATCCGTCATATAAAATCTGGCCACTATCGATGGAGCATCAACAGATGATTTATACTCTCTTAAGTATATGAGAACAGCAACAAAGGAGATTAACACTTGAAGTGTTGGAAACTGACAACGGAAAGAAACTATAATCCACAAAGAGCTTACCTGCTATGTTTCTTCATTTGGCTGTCAATGTACTTCTTCAAGATGTCATCCACATTTGGAGAACGCGGAAGTTGCACAAGCTGCTCAGATAATTCCAAAACATGAGTTAAGCTAAATTCCTTAATATATGGACCTAAGAAAAGCATATGACATTCATTACCTTCTGCATCTGAGTAACAAATTCATAATCGTCAATTAGTTGCTTCCTTAATGCGGGTGGAATATTGAAACTTAAGAGATTGTCAGAGGGAACCACATTCTTCTCCTGAATTCAGCAAACAACAAGATTCAAGTAAAACTCCCCTAATAAAAAAGAACCCTTGATATTTGGAAGCTGAAAGATTACGCAAATACATCCACTAATGAAGCAATTACCGTATCAACAGAATCTTGCTTCCGCTTTCTTCCTCTAGCAACTGCAAAAATTAAGAAAACATTGGACAAAATATCAGCTGACACAATATTCATGTCTGTCATATACTCATAAATGCAGTAACGGAACGAGTAAACCTGGCCTCATTACAGCATTATTAACACATCAACAATAAAAGATATGTATGTATACTTTAATCTCTACAGCTTCTACTTAGTCGACAAAGAATAAAGCAAGCAAGACCAAAAGAGAGTCCCTGATGATACAGACTTTGAATACCCAAGAAAGCAGCAAGAAAGAAGTTCATCAAGACAAGAATATGTAAAAACAAACAAAGAAGAAGCTGACTGACCATTAGGGCTTCTAGGTTTCATCTTTGAAACTCTCCAAGCCATAGCACTCTTAATTCCTTGCTGCTTCAAACCCTGTTCCTTCTGTTTCTCAATATTCTCCTCTGAATGTTTCAACAGACAGTCCAGACTTATCCATTCGTCCCAACTATCATTGTATAAAAGAGATACAAGAGTCAGTCAGACCTTTGATATTATCAAAAAATTGAAACTTGGCAAACAAAATCAGTAAATCACCATATGAAAGAATTCCCTTATTCATAAATAGTTTAAAATGATTTCAAACCGATAAGAAGCCAGTAAGTATATTAAAGGAAGCTCTAACCTTTTGTTCCAACCCTGCCAAAGAAATAAATTTACATCTTCAAAACAAAAGATAGAAGCAAAATAGCTCAAAAGAAATGATTTTATTTAACTTTTTGATTCAACATATTTCTACTTACAATGTAATGCACAAAATACTTCCATTCATTGTCTTTATATTCAACTTTAAGAACCTGAGAATATAAAAAAAAAAAAAAAAAAAAAGGAACACACATAAAGCTCACAAGCAGAGAACAACCCACTAATTCAAGAATAGAGAGAGTGTGTTTGACTTACCTTGGCTTCGTAGAAGCAATCACTGTGTTTGGCTAAAACTCTCTCTCCTTCTTCGAAGTGACCGGGAGGAGCAGGTAGAAGAAGAAGAGGCAAGTCTTCTCCGTCACAATCGGTGTTGGTCTCTGTATCAGAACCAGAGTCCCGTCGTGTGTCTCCGATGAAATCAACGGTTGTAAGATCCGTCTCGGCGGCGGCGTTAGGGCTTCCCATCTCAAAAAAGAGAGTTCTAGGGATTGCAATGGCGGCTTAAGAGAGAGCCCTTTCGTCTTCTTCCACGGCTTGTCTCACGTCGAAGCGACAAAGGTAAATGACAAAAAAAACTCACTCAAATTTGTTGAATCTCAACGCGGCTTTGTCTGAAAATTTCCGGGAAAATTGGGGATTTTTCTATGTCAGAATCTCAAATTTCTCAGATTTTAATATGGGCTTTTCTAATTAGGCCTTAAGCCCATTTAAATAATTTCAAGGCAGGCCTTTACTGCTATTAACTTGGGGAGCAATGCAACAACATTAACATCCTTACAAGAAAAAGACAGAAACACCCCAGAGGTAGCTGAGAAATTGGCTCGGTACAACTGAAGGGTATAATAGTAATTTAGCTTACCACCACCCGAAGTATTCTTGTCCATTAAGTCTCGGCGGATTAAACAAAAAAAAAAAAAGGTCAGGCCTTTGGAGGTCTCGGTAGTTTCTTGACATTTTCTGTATCTCACACACAATTGGGTATTTAGCTGACACGACGAAGGAGGTCGCAATTATCTGAGATTTTTATAAAAGCTCCGATTCGTGGAGATTCATAAATCAGATGGAAGACGATATGTGGTGCGTTAGCTCATCTGGTTCTTCAAGAAGCTATCGATCAGAAACTGCTGCTAAGTATCAATCAGGTTTATTATCAATTTTCTAGGGTTTATGATTTAAGATTGGTCTGAATTGGGTTTCGATTGAATTGGGTTCTGTTTGGTCTCTTTTGGTTATTGGTCGTTAAGTTAAAAATCGTAGCTTTACGTTTGCTTTTAGATGAGAGAAGACTTTTTTTTTCTTAATGGGTTTTTACTTTTGTTCTCGATTTAATTAGCGGCAAATATTTCAGGGCCTTATCTAGATTTGGAAGAGTTTGAAGAAGTTGACGATATAGCAGTGGAGTACCCATGCCCGTTTTGCGCGAGTGGTTATGATATAATTGAATTGTGTCACCATATCGACGAAGAACATCATCTTGAAGCTAACAATGGGGTATGTGAATTCACTTCCTGTCTCTCCTGCGTTTTCCATTTCACACTCAAGCTTCACATGAAGCAGTTTATACAGCTTAGTTATTCGGATTGTGGGAAACATGGCTTCAATCTATAGTTTGATTAGGATTTGTTTAGATTGATGTTTTGAGAATCTGATTGCTATTGCGAATAGTTTCAAAAGAGAAACATGCCACTCCTATCTTAGGTTACTCTTTGAGTTGACATAACTCTCCATTGATCCGTTTAAGGTTTTAGGATATTACATTTTTTTGGCTTTACATGTTTTCTTTAGAGAGTAGGTAGTGAATTCTTGGACCTGAGTTAAGTAGGACTGTTTTGATTGATGCTTTTGGGAATCCAATTTCAGTTAAGAATAGTTTCAACGATCTTCAACGAATATTAAGTCTTAAAATCTCTCTTGTTGAAGTATTGATTGGCTTCACGATTTCAAGAAATGAATATTTAATGGTGTGATGGAACATTATTTTTCTGGTTCTGTGAATATTCATGTGGTAACATCATCTTACAATTTGTTTGTGGTTTTTGTAGATATGTCCTGTTTGTAGCAAAAGGGTGAAGATGCATATGGTGGATCATATAACATCACATCATAGAGATGTCTTGAAGATATCCTTTTTCATTCTTTTCAAACCTTTTTAAGTCAAATTTCCGTCTCTATAATGAATGTGATTTATTTGAAATTCCTTGACCGATAACTTTACAGTGAGCAGAAGGAAATGTCGTACAGGGAAGATCCATATTCATCTGATAAATATTTTCAACCTCCTCTTGATGAGTCGCCACCATCTATGAATCGTCATCATCGTACCTCTAATTTTGTTGTTTCCGATCAATTTTTATCGTTCATCGACAATTCTGCGTTACCAAATCAGACCAAGCTTGTGCAGCCTGATTCAAGTGTAGAAAACAAGAATCTGATTAAGGATTCGTCAACAGCAAAAGAAGGGACATCGTCGTCTCCTTTATCGGATAGTGATAAATTGGAGAAGGCAAAGAAGTGTGAGTTTGTACAGGGACTATTGTCATCAGCCATGTTTGGTGATGAATGCGACTTCTTCTGAGTAAAAAAAAGTAAAATAAAGATGTGAAGTCGCCAATGGGGAAGGGCAGGTGATTGTCATTGTTGTAATTTATTAAGCTCTATTTATATATGCATCTTTTTTACAGACATAACACTAGCTTTAGTCTTATAATATAAGCTGATGAGTTTTCCGTTTGTTTCTTAACAAGATTATTATCGCAGAGCACCGTCCTTGCAAAGTTCTTTCCTGCATCTAGTTAGATTTGGGTATCAATATAACAATAGTGTGCTATATAGTCAACAAGCCCGTCTAGCTCAGTTGGTAGAGCGCAAGGCTCTTAACCTTGTGGTCGTGGGTTCGAGCCCCACGGTGGGCGATATAACTTTATAAAAGCATGCTGTTTTTAACACGCTAACGAAGCCAGTTACCACAACGTTGTTTAACTTACCACTGCTTTATATAATAACCTCAGAATTTTGTCCAATTGTCCGTATTAATATCTTCAACGCATATCCAAAATCACACACATTGACTATTGGTGGTGTCATGGTGTGTGTAAATGTGACGAGACTATATTTATGGAAGTTTTTGAGACTTTTTTCTTCGTCTAATTGTCTTGACAAACACATATTCTCTCCTAATATAATAGTAATAAAACAAGAAGAAGAACATAGACTCATCTCCCCTTAAAAAAAAAAAAAGGGGAACATAGACTCGCATATGAGTTGTGAAATACTTAAGAGGGAGGCTTTATGAGGGACGGAGCTAATCAATGGGTAGGGGGGTCAGCTGACCTCCATCAAATGTGATAATTTTTTAATTATAAGGTAAAATACTAATAATTATTAGATGTTTTGCAATAATAGATCCATGTTGACTCCTACGCCACATGATCATTTTCGACTTTTGACCCATTCATTTTTCTTTTTTATTTAACATTAATTTTCTTTCCATTTTGTTTTGTGTTTTCCTAAGAAATGATTATAAAATATCTAATATTTTCTTAGATATTAATAATTTTATTCTTATTAGATATCCTGTTTTATTTTTTTTCGTACCTTGTTTTCAAAATTCTTACATATATTTTTGTAAAAGGTCATAAATCAAGATACATATAACAACTAATTAATCTCCACAATATACTATAGATTTGGTAAAAATTTATTTTGAGAAAAATACTTAACATAACTGAATGTAAAATAAAAAATATGAACTACGTGTATCATTTATTAAAAAATGAAGCATTTTGAAAAAACTTATATTAAAAAACTTAGTTTTAGTTTTTGGTGAAAAAATAAATTTCTCTAGGCCATTTAAACAATAATTTATATTTTGAATAAATCATTAAATATTAATATATAATTAAATTAATTAATCAAATGATTTTTTAAAACAAAATTTCTGGCTTTATCTAAAAGATAATGACAATATACCATGTATTGTAAAAGCTAGAAAAAAACATGGGAGTGGGTGGTTGTTAGTAGTGTTCAATGAATTGGCGCTTACAAGTTGGTACGTAATACCTCCACTGATGTTTTTTTCTTCTGACAGTGATGTTTTTCATATGTTACTCTGAAATTGTTATTAGTGTTTGATTAATGTAAAGAACTGAAACGAAATATGACAGTTATTAGTATTAAATAATGCTTCTACTCAACAATAAACAAATAGATGATGCAATTGCGATTTAGTTGTCCCCAAACGTGGCTTCATTCATGCATATATTATTTTTTTAAATGGGATCAAATTGTTGTAAACATGGTTTCAATTTTCACCAATGCCTTTAAATTTCCTGACGTTGATTAGATATTCCGTTGATAGGTATAAATTAACAATTAGCGCTATGGATAGATTTTTTTAATTGTGTATGATGAACGTAAAACAATAAGAAACCAAAAAAGGAACAACTTCTTGCAAAGTAGGTTTGTTGAAACACTGTAAACTAAAAATCTGAAAGCATAAAGATTAACTGACATAAGTTATGTTCTTGCGAAAATAAAAGTTATTCCACAAACGCATTCGATAAAACATTCAAAACCTTCTTCAGAGTCAAATCCGTGAACTGATGATCGATATAGCTTCTCACTATATATCCTCTCTTCACTTCTTAGACTTCTTCTTCGGTTCACTGCACAAGCAAAGACCCATACATGATTTAGGTATCTTAACCATTTTGACACAAAACTCAATATACAACACAATTGAGATTACTCTGGAGTTTGAGCAGGTGTAGCAGCAGGTGCTGGTGCAGCTACAGGCGCAGCCTCTCCACCGGGACCCTACATCAACCAATCCACAACACATGAAATCTGTGATCATAATCAATAAATCTTATAAAATGTTAAAAAAGTTTAAAAGTTCTGACCTTAGCTAAACGCTCCTCTCTCCTAGCATGCTTCCTTTCTCGGCTAGCCTTGTTCTTCGCCCTCTTAGCCTCAAACTGATCAGACAAAGTCTTCTCCCTAGCCTTCTCAGCCTTAGACTTGTGGATACTCTCCATCAAGACACGCTTGTTCTTGAACACATTACCCTTAACACGCATGTACATGTCATGGTACATGTGCTTGTCAATCTTCTTCGACTCTCTGTATTTCTTCAACAGACGCCTAAGGACACGCATCCTACGCATCCACAGTACCTTTGTTGGCAACCTAGCTTCACGGGTACCCTTCCTCTTACCTTTTATCAATCATACAAAAGCAAGGACAAAAATTCAGGATTAAACAATGCCATTAAGCATCATGATTAACAGAAGAGATCCAGAGTGTTGAAATATATACCGTATCCAGAGTGACGACCCTTCATCTTGGCAATCTTCATTTTGCGAGCTCTGGAACGAGAGTGAATCTTGGTTGGCTTCCTGATGATGAAACCATCCTTCACAAGCTTCCTGATGTTTTGGCCTACATGAAAATTCAAACACAAGAATCAGCTTCTTAACGAATTAAAGCTATAGAAAGATCATCAACTATATAACAACAATCCTTGAAATGAAACATCATACAAATCCTCAGTCTACTAAGAAGCAGTATCAGTAATCTAATCATAAAGCTTTGATTCACGAGACAGCAAATCATAGTTCTACAAGGCCTATAACTAGAGAAATGAAACAGCAACAACACCTACAAGCTCTAAATTTGCAGATCGGAAACAAACACAGTGATTTTCAACACCTAATATCATCTACCACCGTCGCAGGCAAACACAGGACACAAATAAACGAAAGCAACGAAGGTAAAAGCTAAAGGATGAAGGAAAAAAGCAACAACGTACGGGAATTGGCCATGGAGATGTCGGAGCTTTCATTGGGATCGAGCCAAACTTTGCCCTTCCCGCACTTCATGACTGATGCGGCGAGCCGCTTCTGGAGCTTCAGAGAAACCATTTTTGCTTCTCCCCTTTTCTGGAGATTGGTGTGGCGGAGAACTGACTAGCGAACCAGACGAAAAGAATTTATATACCTCAATGTTTCTAGGGTTTCCTCCTTTTCGAGAAGTCTATTGGGCTTTAATTCTAAACGGGCTTTTTAAAAAACCCCATTATAAGCCTTTTAATGAGTGACTTTATCAATTAATTTCATTAAGGTTGAGAAACACAAATACACAATTTTAAAAAAGCATGCTTTAGACCTTATCGTTTTCTATTTAACTGTAGATTATATATGTAAATTATCATGAAAAATATTTTATAATTATGTAAGACACAATCGTTATCTTTGTAAATGAGAATTGTGTGTGTGTATTATCTTAATTGTTATATATGTAAATGTGTATAAATAACTCTTATCTTTAAAAGACTCTTATAAAATTTCACTTTTAATTCAAGAAAAAGTATATCTATATTGTTAAAATATTTAAATTTATGAATGTTGATAGTAACTTCTATAATCCGTTCATTTTGCATAACTTACAGCTGTTTATTGAAGAAGAAGATTAGAAACTGCATATTTAAAACCTTGACAACTGTCAAGTGAATTTAAGCAGGTGGAGAAAAAAATTTAAACCAAACTTCATAAAAAGGTGATTGATGGGAAACTAAAATAATCGGAACCAGATTCATAAGAGAGATTCTTGAGATGAAGACATCATTATCGTTTCAGGTACATGACTTCTGATATGCTTGTTAGTTGCTACTATTTAAGTTTAAGTCTGAGTAATATCTCAGGTAGTAATATTCTTTTCAAGTTTCAGAAATAGTTTAAGCTAAATTTTAATGCCAAGATAGAATAATGAAAGAGATATTGAGCCACTTGATAAAAAAAAAAGAAATCGGTGTCTTTAGATAGAGCAATAAAATGGTGTATACACTAATACTCACAGACGAAATTTCTAACCAGAAACTATTAGGCAACCAGCTGAAGGATCTGTTTATTTATACATTACCAAAAAAAAATCGGGAAAAAAAACATTATCAAAAGTCAAATATTCCACTGATTATTTCTTGTTGATATATTCCCAAACTAACTCACAAACAAAACAATGTTTGTGACAACTTTTGATTTTTTTTTAATAGTAAATTTTTTTATACCAAAAAGCTTATTTGGGACACATAGGGAAGCTAAGTTTTCCACCAAATATAACATTGGCGTTATCGCAAAGAGCTCCCACCAAACCGCCTGACGACGACTTCTTCTCTCCTCCTGTCTTGCCTACATAGTTCAAGTTCACGTCAACAACGTTGACTCCTTTGCACGGCACCGATTTGCTACACATAATCTGAACGATATCTTTTGTAATTGTTGTCCCTCTGATGTTCTTGAACAATATATCACTTATAGCAACTTGTGAATCCTACAAAAACACACAAAAATGAATTGTTAAGGCATATATTCAAAAGAATACTCTAAATTTTGGGTTGAGACACTCTCAGTAATATATACTTACTCCGCCTCTTGAACCGTAGTTTTGATCAATGATGATTGGGTTCTTGACACTCTGCATGATGATGTTTTCAAATTTAATGTCCACAGCCTTGCTTGGATCTGAACCACCCCATGTCTTGATCCTAAGACCATTGTCGGTCTCAACCATCGTGCAGTTGTTAACGTGGATTCCGCTAACGTCTTCCTCGTTCTTGTACTTACCAAGACTACCGACACTTAGACCGTGTCCTGGACCACAAATCACACGTTCGACGGTTACGTTGTTGGAGCCACGACCGACTGAAACACAATCGTCTCCAGTCGCGATGGTACTGTCGAGGATGCTAACGTTGTCTGCATTGCTCAAATGGATACCATCGGTGTTGGGACTTTCAGCAGGTGCGATAAGCTTAATGTTTTGGATGTTAACATTCTCAGTTTTGACTAAGAACATGTGGAAGGCCTTCGCGTTCACCGAGCTTATGCCATTGATTTCAACATTTTTCATGTTCCTGAATTTGAGAGACTGAATGTATACATACATATGTGTCATTAATTATTGCAAATAAATAAATATATATATATATATATATATATATATATGTGATTTGATATTTTATATAGTTATTTGTTCTTACCGTTGGAGGAAGATTGCATTGGACCTTTTTGCCACAACCATCTGCTTTCCAGACAGCTTCACCTTTCCCGTGGAATGTGCCGGTTCCGGTGAGGACGAGATTGTCGACACGTTCGAACAAGAACCATTCGGGAGTTGCGTACCCGCTGGTCGTAGCGATGATTGTGCCTTGAACATTGACGGTCACTTTGCTCTTGCATGGACCGGCGAAAATGACTGGACCAGCCAAAAATTGTCCCTTAGGAACTAGTAGCGTTGCTGGTACTGGACTATCACACACTTGGATCCATGTGTTCAAAAACGCCTGCATGGATGTTATTGGACCAATCGTTAGAATGTCACATGCAATTTACTATAAATACTCAAAAAAGATTATGGATCGAAACTGAAACTAAATTTTACCTTAAAAGTATTGGTGGAACCATCTCCTACGGCTCCAAACTTAGTAATATCATAGACTGTGGGGTTACCGGAATTAGCGGCGAGACCACGGCGGCCGCCGAGATATTCACCATTAGCCACGCAAGAACCAAACACCAAGGCCATTAGAATCAATGAACCTACGTTAATATTGTTTGCCTCGGCGACCAAACTTCTTGCGTTAGCCATGGTGATAATATCTTTATTATTTTTTTGCTTTTTTTGTTCTTTTAAAAGAGTGTTAACAAATTTAAAAGTGATTTGCTCATAGGAGGATTCATCATGTTTTTATAGCGTTAGTTTGTATGCTATTTTTAGATTTGAATCCTTTTAGAAAGGTATTGATATTAGAGTGTGTGATTCCATCTTCTTTTGCGGATTGTTGACCCCAGTCTTAGGTTGTAACGATTTCCAATTTTACCGTAACTTTTTATATATCAAGCAAAAAGAAAAAAGAAAAAACGGAATCTATTGATTAAGTGGTTGAGAATGATCAATATTACTCGGTTAATTATAAAACAATCTAAAATTGCAAGCAATTACTACAACTTGGTATTTGCCAAAAGGCCCAAAACCACCAAATTTTTTTGTTTCTTTCTCAAAATTCTGTGTATATATATATATATATATAAAATAATGTTTTGTTTGTTGATTATGTTCGGAGCGGCATAGCTAAATAATTATTCTGTAATTATCTTTAAATTATTGATGTAAATGAAACTGATATTTCTCATAAATAAGATTGGTAATCCACAAAATGATAGACAATTTTACATGTTTACCAATTATACTTTTTGGAATCATGATGATGTAGATACCAATTGATATGCCATTCACAATAAAATCAGTAACAAATCAGTGATTATAAAACACAATCCTCTCCTCTATCAATCAAAATTTAAATTACGTAAACGTGAACTTAGTTCTGTCATAACAGAGACAATGACAGCTTTAATCGACCCATCTCTCTCTCTATCTGGTCAATTGCTCATTGTATATTACTCACTCCGTTTTATAAAGAGTGTCGTTTTAAGGTTTTATTTTTGTTTCATAAAGAGTGTCGTATTAGGTTTTCAATACAAAATTTAATAATTTTTTATGTTTTATGACTATTAGTATTCTGCAGATTGTTTTACTATTGGGCAGATTATGTTTAGGTATATAGTTAATGATGTTTTTGTTTAGAAAAAACAAAAAATTTAATGTTTTCTTAATCTGTGTGCAAAACTCTAAAATGACACTCTTTGTGAAACAGAGGGAGTATTTTCTAAATAAATATCCTTTATCGTGACTAGAGAAAAAAAAAATCCTCTTCTCTCTCTCCTTTTGCATGGTAAACGGTAGTTGTAGTTTGTATTACAAGCAGTAAATGTATATATATATATATATATATATATATTTTTGGATCACCATCTCGTTTATAGGTTTGGATGTTTTATCAATTTCACTCATATTTTTTTTTGACTAATCTCATTTCAAAGACCCATTCCCGTTTCTTAATGCTACTTTTTCCAATTAGAAAATAAAAATAAAAATTCCACATCATCTAAAACATTATTCAGTCGGATCGGACAATCTTGGCCATTCATTTATAAAATAATTACTACTAAATAACATTGTAAACCCAACAGTTGGCCTTAGGATCGAGCAAGACAAGCCAAAGCTCCAACAAGTGGAGCGTTAATGTAAGTTGCTGGCTCGGACCGTCCATAGTCGGACCGTTCGTCAGGGAATTGGTCGTTCTGGTCGGGACCACCGACGACTGCACCGACTAAGTCGTTAGGGTTAGGAGATTGAGAGGTAAACATGGAGAAGCCATCGTGGCACTGGATCCTGGTCGGGTGGACTGCAACGGAGGGGAGAGATGAGCCACGGTGGTGAATCCGACGTGGATATTTCAGACCATAACCAACCATGTATGACATCTTCAACGGGTTGTCTCCAAGTAGATAATCCACCTGGAGCATATATCACATGAATCAGTTAATTAAGCAAACACTACTCTTTCAATTTTATATTGGGATATTAATTAATTCATGCTTTAGCAAAAGAAAAAAGAAATCATCTTTTCTAATTATCTTTATAATAAACTATAGATTCTTTTATTGGTACGTTGCAGTCTTGCAGATGGTGTTACATTTATTATGTGCATTAACTGAAAATTACTTGATAGTCAAGTTTGATTTTGACATCCAAAGTATACTAAAAGTATAAATAAATAAACCTTTTTAGGATAAAATCCATGAAAATGTTCTTTTTGGGCAAGATTCAATAAGTTTGAGATGCGTGTAATTTTGTAACACTCATCGATTTACAAAAAAGTTTGGATCAGTATTGTGTGTTAAAATGAACCTGTTTCCTGGCGATTGAGCGGAGGCGGGCAGGGGTGACGACGGAACCACCGCAATAAGCGACAGTGCGAGCAGAGGTTAAATATTTGGCGTAGGTCAATAGCAAGAACGATGTAGACGTCACGTATTGCATGTTGCTCTCACCCATCTTGAACAATAGCCCACCTATACAAATACATATATCTTCAAATAATTTCATAAATTCCTTGATCTAAAATTTCAGTGAGAAGATTAGGGTATTTATGTAAATAATGAGAAGATGAGGGGTCAATATCTTATGTATGCAAAAACCTGGGGTGTATTGGGAAGAGGAGGCTCCTGGTAAAACAGAGCAAATGAAACTATCAGCATGCTCTTTGTATTCTTCAAGTGACTTCACTTTCTGAATCAGAAACTCCTTGAAAAAACAAAATCACACAAAAAAAATGTTTCATAAAAATTCAAGAACCAATGGTCTCAATTTTGAATCTTTGTATAACCTTGGAGAGAAGGATTCTAGCACCAACGTGCTTATTATCCCAACTAAACATGTTATCAAACTCATCAGCTCCAAGGATTTGTCCATTAGCTTTGATGTAATTGAGATATGTTGGGTTATTTGTTGCTTTGTGTAACCAAGCAGCTCCCCATAACAATTCGTCCTGAACCAAAAAAAAAAAAAACAAATCAATTTAATATCAGTTTCTTTTGTAACAATTTAAATTAATTTAGATCCAACGTAAGAAAATTTAAAATGTTGAACCTGGTAGCCAGAGTAAGAACAGTAGAATGGACAAACTTCTGGGGCCAGACCTGCACTGTAGGGTCCTCTGTATTTGTCCGCAAATGTAAAAACCTTAAAAACCCACAAATGCAATTTTCCATTAATGCTCACACTGAAATTTCATAGTCTTTATTTAATTGCCACATGATTATCAAATGAAGAATATTTCACCTAATTACAAAACTTGAAAATATATGAATACTAAAAGAAGAGTATTTTTATTAATTGTGAAAATGACAAATTTGTGCTTATTTACCGTAATGGCTCGTTGGAGGAGGAGATTGGAGTAAGAAGGATCGCATCTCCCGAAAACAATTGAAGCAGCGGCAAGAGCGGCAGCGATTTCACCGGCGATATCAGAACCAGGATTGTTCTTGTCGACTTTAAACACACTTCTTGGTGTATCCATGTCTTCTGGTCTCTCCCAACACGCATGGTCCATGTTAGGATCACCAACCTATGAAAACGCTAACGTTAAACCACTCTGTTTCCAAAAGTTTGCATTTTTTTGAGAAGAGAATGTAGAGTAAATTAAGAAACCTGAACATAAATGGTATCAGGATGTGAAGTGGCTTTGAGGAGAAAGTCAGTGGCCCAACGAACTGCGTCTTTAGCGTTTGGTAACTCAGATTTCATGAGACCACCAAACTCAATTAAACTCCATGAGAGCATTGTGGTTGTGAATGCCATTGGGAACCCAAACTTCATATTGTCCCCTGCATCGTAGTATCCTCCCACCAAATCCACCTACAAATTAAACCCATTCACACAAATTAGACTTTCCAAAAAAAAGATGTAACTTAGTTTCTCTGTTTTAACCTAAAAACCATAATCACAAAAATTAGGGTTTCAATTCCTCTGTTTTATGCAACAACCCATAAAGTTTGGACCTTTTGATGATATATGTAAAGTTTGAACCTTTTGATGATATTTGTTAAGTTTTCACCTATATTGCCAGCATTCATGTTAATCGAGAACAAACCCATTTCACATTTTCCATAAAAGCAACAAAAAAGCAAGAGAAAGTAGTGTCATTTACGTTGAGGGCAGAACCATCAGAGAGGCCAGAGTTACTTCTCCAAGTCATCCTCTGGTTTGGAGGAAGCTTTCCGGATCTTTGACCTTCGAAGAAGAGAATGGACTTGGAGAGAGCGTCTTTGTAATTGTGGTTGTCGAGGTGGTGACGATGGTGGATGCTAGAGCGAGAGGAAGAGGACGAGAAGCCATTGGTGATAAGCAAGAGAAAAGAGAGACAGATGATGAGTCGAGAAGAATAGAGATAGAGAGCCATTTCTCTAGAGATGGGAAGAGAAAAGAGAAAGAGCTTTGGTTAGCCAATCAATGTGAAGTGTGCAGCAGAGGAAGCTTGCTGCTAGGTGAGCAGAGGATTAGCTCTTTATATAGAGAAAAGATTTGGTTTTATCTTTCATCACTTTCCACCTTCTCTCTCGTTTTGCTAAACCGGTTAGTTAGTCATATGAACCGAACAAACAGAAGTATTAATATTTTTACCAGCTAGGTGACAAAAACTAAACACACATTTCTAATTGTGTATTTCTAATCAAGTTATTTGTTAATTAGCATGATTCGTAAGTTGTTCACTTAATTAGTTTTTAACAAAAAGTTAACTTTGAAGGATCTTGTAAATCATGCGTGCTCATTGTTAACACAATCTCGAAATCGTAAAAGTTTTTTGTAATCATTCACCCATACCGAATTCAGTTGAAACATTTAAGTGTTCATCAAATATGGTAGAACAAAAAAAAGAAAAAAAAACGTCCGGTCAATTTTACGTGGTAATGACCAAAATAATAATAATGAGATATGCATATGCTTTGTCAGACCAACAAAAAAAAGAAAGAGATGGAGCTTAGAGAGCGAAAGAACAAATGCGAGAGTCGTGGGCATTGTGTCCAAACTAAGAAATAATCAAGGGGACAAACGTATAACGTAAAATAAATGGGGGGTCTCTTGGTAATATTTGGTAAATTTGCTATTGTCCGTACGCATGATTCGGCTCCTTGAAAATGGGCTAAACGTCGAGGGCCCAACGTACAAAGTGGATAAGCCTTGCCTTCATTTATTCCTTTTTAACATTTTTCCGTTAACATTATTATTGATGCATTGCATTTGCATGCATGCACATCGGATTTTCATTATCTCAACGTTTTTTAATTGAACGCATGAATTAAAGAAATAGCTTCAATTACATTGTTTTCTACAACATTATTGATAGTATATAGGGTTGAGAAGTTGGATGTATTTTAGGAAGGGCTCCGATTTTCAAGTTTCAATAACTTCAATCATATATAAACCATAAAAAATGTTAAACTATCAAATGTTTCTACCAAATCCTAATATCATATGTTCAAAGAAATTTAAATATGAATGCATATATGGTTTCCGATAAGTATATATATATATACATATAGATATATAATAAATTGTTGAAGTTAATGAATATATATGTATATATGTGAAAAGGAGTGGAGAAGCCAAGAAAGATTAATATATAATAATGGAGATATGTACATGCTGCAGGCATGTGATGAGTCCTAGCTAGTACAATAATTTCATCGTTACATTGAATAAAATGGACCGATAGTGCCATAGAGTTATTCTATACCTTATAACCGGGCCAGTTTGACCGGCTTGTCGTTTTCTACGTTTTAGGATTCTTGCTCTCCATAACAGATACAAGTCCTGATGGTAAATCTGCGATTGTTTTGATCACTATTTACCGTCTTTTATTCATTTTATGGCTAGCCTATAAGTTTTTATTACATCATGTAAAAATGTTTTGTTTATAGTGGAGAAAAGCAAAATTTTATTTTCAGGTATAATATGAATTAACTAGTGGGTCTAACTGTCTAAGTTATAAACATCAACAATATTATCACACACAAAGAAAAACTATATTAAGAATATGCTCTGCAAATTCATATAACTGAAATATCTGGAACTGATTAGTAAAATTAAGACAAGATATATCCCATCCAACTATATATATTCCGATTCCAAAGAACATATATAGATGAAACTTTGTTCTCGTGAAGTTATTCGATTGGATTTGTGTTCACTTCGATATAGTAGTTGGGCCGATATAATCGCAACTCTTGGCCTATAATACATTGTCTACGAGTATCCAAAAGAAGAAAATAGATGTTGTCTACGGATGAGATTGGTATGAAGTAGCTGTGGTATATAACTATATATATATATATATATATCATGCGAAGATTTAAGAAATCTGGAAATTAAAAAAAATGCAACTAGATATTTATGGTATACAAATCTAGGCCAGAGTCGGTCGTTTTCGGATTTCGGACCGTTCTGCCTTGAAACTGTGTTCCATGACAATTAAATGCAACGTTTTCATATATCTGACAAAAAAAAATACTACTACTATACTAATACTTTGTTTAACAAGTTTTGATACGAAACACATTTAAATAAATTAGTGAGAACTGAGAACTAATTAATTAAAGCGCTTTACTATGAAATGTGAGCTCATCAAATCCCAACGGTTACAATTTCATTAATTACGTGCGTGTTGACATATTAAAAAGTAGTAGAGGACAACTCGACGTCGCTTCAGTTGCATCAGTCGTTTATTAAGCAGACGAAATTATAATTACGTTAGATCGTTAGAAATTAAATACAGGTACGTACAAATGCATTGGATTAGAAGTAAACACAATATTACTAGCTAGTACTCCCTCCGTTTCGTTTTAGTTGTCGTTTAAAGTTTTCTCACATAAATTAAGAAAAACATTAATTTTTCTGTTTTACCCTCTATTAATATATTTTATAAAAAAATCATTGGGCGAAACATTAAAATAGTAGGGATAAAACTGGAATTTTTACCAAACATTTGCATCGAAAACCTAAAACGACAACTATTATGAAACAAAATTTTAACTCTAAAACAACAAGTAAAACGAAACGGAAGGAGTACTATTCTAATTTTATTTTTTAAACTTTAAAGCTGCTAGCTGCTACTATACTAGGAGTATTTTAAAAGAGGGCTAATGTTAGGTTGGAATTTGGAACCATCGATACGCTTTGATCCGATAATTATTTTGAGAAAATATTTAATGCTGACAAATAATTGAACAAATTGTCAACATATTGCAACAAAGAAAACCGTAAATTAACACCTAATAATTCAATCGTACAAATAAACCTGCCCCAGGCATGGATTAACATATTTGTTCAAATAATTTTCTTAAACAGGAGTGTTGCACCCATAAAATAAAACCTAAATACCGTGTTTTGTTTTGTTTCTTTCGGTAATTAGAGAAACTGAGTGAATTGTTTAACATCATACAAACAAAATTACCTAGCAAAGTTTAATACTTCTTTGAAGTTTACATTATATAGTATAATTTATATTACATCATTTGTTTCGAAATTCCGCGCTATGATGCACTAATTAATGTCAATCAAAACTTATGTATATAGAGAGAAAAACAAAATATCATAACAGGTAAGCTGGTAACGGCTACTTCGAAACCGCATTGTTATGATAAAAACAAGAATGCGAACTACTATAAATAAATAATAATTAAATCACTCGATTATCAATCGAAATATCTTTCTTAAGATTGAATGAATTATGAACATATATATGGTTCTGCAATAACAGCTAAGCATCTTTGAATAAGAGACAGAGTTTCCGATGGTTAACTACTATTAATAGTTAAATTACTTTCTCCAAACAAACCTACGCGTTTTTAAGACTCCCAAAACGAGTTGACTCAGGATAATAATCGCATTACAATAATCATAGTTTTCATACACAAATTATAATATTAAAAAGGACCTACGTCATCCTCACTCATCATCAACACACTTATATATATAAATCACTTAACCTAAAGTTTTTATTCACATAACATTTCCAGTAACAATGGAATCTCCATTACTCATTCTCATCACACTATCATTCCTTTTTCAATCAGTTGTTGTTTCTTCACAAACTCTATCAAACTCTTCAACAATCTGCAAAACGACACCGGATCCAAAATATTGCAAATCCGTTTTCCCACATAGCCAAGGCAATGTTCAACAATACGGCCGCTTCTCTATCCGCAAATCGCTATCGCAATCGCGAAAATTCATTCGCACCGTCGATAGATATATCAAACGCAACGCTCATTTATCTCAACCTGCCGTTATCAGAGCTCTCCAAGATTGCCGTTTTCTCGCTGGTTTAACAATGGATTACCTTTTAACGTCGTTCGAAACCGTTAACGACACGTCAGCAAAAGCCTCTTTCAAAACGCTGTCGTTTCCAAAAGCCGACGACATCCAAACGCTTCTTTCCGCGGCGTTGACTAACGAGCAGACGTGTCTTGAAGGACTTACCACCGCCGCTTCTTCTTCCGCCACGTGGACTGTAAGAAACGGCGTCGCTTTACCTCTCGTTAACGACACGAAGCTCTTGGGCGTCTCACTCGCTCTCTTCACCAAAGGTTGGGTTCCAAAGAAGAAGAAACGAGCCGGGTTTGCTTGGGCCCAACCGAGATCCGGTTCATCGACCCACACTAAACCGTACCGTCTGTTCCGTAACGGAGCTCTACCGTTAAAGATGACGGAAAAAACAAAAGCCGTTTACGAGTCACTCAGCAGAAGAAAACTCTCCGAAGGTGACGGTAACGGTGATGGTGACGACGGAAGCATGGTTCTGATAAGCGATATCGTCACCGTGAGCCAAGATGGAACAGGAAATTTCACCAACATCACCGCAGCTGTAGCGGCGGCGCCAAATAACACAGACGGAAGCGCCGGTTTCTTCTTGATCTACGTGACGGCGGGAATCTACGAAGAGTATATCTCGATCGCGAAGAATAAAAGGTACATGATGATGATCGGCGACGGGATTAATCAGACGGTGGTCACCGGAAACAGAAGCGTCGTCGACGGTTGGACTACTTTTAACTCCGCCACATTTGGTACGTCACACAATCACATGTTATTAATCATAATGTCTCGAGATTTTCAATAATATTTTAATTTCTCGAGTACGTAACTAGTTGCCTTTAATTATTGTATTTTCAACTATAGGTCGAAAAGGTTAGAATTGAAAGTGGTGAATAGGGGACAAGATGCATTAATACCGAGTCTGAGTGTACTAACCATTTTGTTGATTTTTTTAGTACATAGTTGGATGATGCAAGCATTAAATAAACGATATTTTGGGGTTCAATTGATAGTAACTAATCGTGCACATTATTTTTTTATTCAGCTGTGACAGCACCGAACTTTGTTGCGGTGAACATAACATTCCGGAACACGGCGGGACCGGAGAAACCAGGCGGTACTAGGGGGTAAAAGACCAGAGCCAGAAGCTGCCTGCCTCTGGCGTCTTTGCGGATAATTTT